AGACGTCGACGTCTGGAGGGAAGCATGGTATCAACTGGACAGTTAGGACGCAGCTGGACTTCGCAGATGATATGGCTCTTCTATCGCGCACTCAACAACAAATGCAAGAGAAGACGACGAGTGTAGCAGCAGCCTCTGCAGCAGTAGGTCTCAACATACATAAAGGAAAGAGCGAAATTCTCCGATGCAACACAACATGCACCAACCAAATCACTCTTGATGGAGATGCCTTGGAGGACGTTAACACTTTTACATATCTGGGCAGCATCATCGACGAGAAAGGTGGATCCGATGCAGATGTGAGGGCACGGATTGGCAAAGCAAGGGCTGCATTTCTACAATTGAAAAATATCTGGAACTCCAAACAACTTTCAACCAAAACCAAAATCAGGATTTTCAATACAAATGTCAAGACAGTTCTACTGTATGGAGCGGAAACTTGGAGAACTACGAAAGCCATCATCCAGAAGATACAAGTATTTATGAACAGTTGTCTACGCAAAATACTTCGTATTCGTTGGCCAGACACCATCAGCAACAACGAACTGTGGGAGAGAACGAACCAGGTTCCAGTGGATGAGGAAATCGGGAAGAAGCGGTGGAAGTGGATAGGACACACACTACGAAAAGCACCGAACTGCGTCACGAGACAAGCCCTCACATGGAACCCTCAAGGCAAAAGGAAAAGAGGAAGGACAAAGAATACATTACGCCCAGAAATAGAGAAAGATATGAGAGGAATGAACAAACATTGGACAGAACTGGAGAGAGAAGCCCAGGACAGAGTTGGTTAGATAAAACTGGTGGGCGGCCTATGCTCCATTGGGGGTAACAGGCGTAAGTAAGTAAGTAAGTACAGCTGTCTGGTTTGCTTGTAATATGGAACTGGTTGAAATAGTGTATTCCGACAAATTGTGTAATAGAGCCTAGAATAAAAAATTTATTAAAACATAAATGAAAGGGCTTCAATTTAGCTTGGTGGACGAACGTATCAGAGTGAAGCAGATAAGTATATGGGCTTTATCTATGTGAATGATTATGTATATAGTTAGTAAATGTCTGTGTCCTATTAATTAATCAGACGAAAAACTATTGATGATAAGATCTATTCTCAAATAACAAAATTACTACAAGCTCATTACGTGAACATGTGTTGAGATGTGAAGATTGAAATAGGCCAGTGTTTGCGGATAGTAGATCATGTACGAAAAAGAATGGATGAAGACGCTGGTCTCTGATGTAAGGCCACAGATAATAATTACCAGAGGGATACTGGGGCTATCCTTTATATGATATGACAATGAGACACACATACGAAGATCTATATTGTTGATTCCTTCCTGTCTATACGATATAGGCTCTCAAGTAAGTAATCCCTATATACTTGCAAACGCTACATTAAACATGGGATTATTGTATTCAGATACGAGTCCATCACTGTCAGACATATCCGGTCGAACTTGGTAAGATCAGCTTAATGACGAAAACAAACTGTTGCGAAAGTTTTGGGTAGTTTATAAGTAATAATTTTCACCTAGCAAGTGCAAAGTATTTACACTTAGTGGATGCAGTATTTGGTTAGTTGTTTGGACGATCAATCACGTGGAGGTCAACATGTTAACCTGTATTTACCATAACAAGACTCGAATAATTATCCCCATCCTACATTGGCACAAAACTGGACAGTACACTCTCCCCACCATAACTCTGTATGCACAAGTTGATGACAAATCCATGTAAAAGTAAAAGAAAATTGCAGTTTTCAGCTATTTATTATCCGGAAACAAAACTCTGCTCAATCAGAACAATAGATTCTGAAGATGTGGCTTCGTTGTCATCATCATATACACGTGTAACTTGTGTGCATACGTCTTCAGATGATTCGAAATATGGATAGATGAGATTATTAGCTCGACGTTCACTAGGAGCATGGATTGAGTGGTTAATATTAGTGAACATCTTCAATGGATCTTCTCTCTGCGTGGGATGTGTCGTCCTGTCCATTGCTCGAAGGACCATACTCAACGTGTACTGTGTCAAAACAAATCTATGAGGATCATAGTGATCAAGAAGTGTACACTTACCTCCAAGAATTAGACACTCGATATCATTCAGCACCAGGTTTCAAGCATATATTAGTTTGATACGAACTGCTAAAATCCAATAGCATTTCTCAGATTTGAAATAAAGTTCGTTGAAAAATGACATACTTTATTTCAATGATTCTGCAATTTGATAGAAGTTAAGGTAAGTATGCCGATGAGGTAGATTTCCATTTGACTATGCTCAAATTTCAGTGTAATAAAGTAGTTTGGAATTGAAGCAAACAGATCTAAAATTGATTTGTTTTAGCCTTCCTTATTTCTCACCGTTGTTGCAAACAATTTTTATGACAAATTGACTATGTTATAAGACTATGAAATATGTAGTTTTGAATAACATAAATCATGAAATATTTATGAACTTAACTAGCCTTTGACTTGTGCTACGTAAAGGGACCACGGTTATATCGATATATTTCATTTGAGTCATTCTATTATAGTTCTACAGCGGTGAGATTTGACGTCTTAGCATTTTGACATCTAATGTAAATGTTACATCATGATTCGTAGTTGCATATAAACATGAATTAATCAATGATAGAAACTACGGTTTTCGTGAATGTCAATGATCCTGTGGACTGAAATATAGATCAGTATGGGTGCATGCTTCAGAAAACTGAGGTCATCATTATAGTCACTGCTCGAAACTGACCAGCTAGATTGACTAGGTCATGTTTCATTAGTGTGATCTTCTCTTTATTTGCCTGATAACTAGTTATGCAGTCGTTCACCATCTGTGAAAACGATTAAAAGAAATAATTTTGTTGACACGAAAGATTTAGAATCACTCCATGAATGCCTTAATCCCATCTATCATGAATTGACAGCATGTAGCCCTGTGATTCGTTCTATAAGAAGGATGTACATGGGAAGTATATGAATGTCTTTAAGGCTCTGTAAAATTATCTCAAGCGTCGAAGAACCTGTCTCCATATATGAGTAGTCGTATCAATACTGATGCTGTTCTAATGGACAAGAACAAGAATGGACATGTATTTATACTGAACATGGTTACCTCATGCTCTTTCAGAATTGGTCCAACCTTAAATTGACCAAATGTCAGTCAGTCAGTCAGTCAGTTACAACGTGGAACTTCGTACGTAAGTACATCAGTTCATGTCGCCGTACCACACCAGCACAGAGACGCAATTGTCAAACCAAATCCCATAGTGGTAGAGATAGTACAAGAATTACTGCTAATCAAGAAGATTAGGATTTGAATATAATATTCAAGAAGTATAATTCAGTGAGATAATGTTAGAGAGACAAAAGTAGAGATGTTGACGAATCTAGAAGTTTAGGATTTGAGAGAACACGAGGAGTGGATACACTTGCGCCATCGCAAACGATTTTGAGCCATGCCATTCAAAGTCTCTAACCATCGGTGACTCTCGTCTCACAGAACCAAACCACGTAGCCTACATCTGCCAACATGACTCCGCCCACTTGTCAGTGGCTTCATGGATACCTGCCATGTATTGGTTTGGCCGCCACTAGCTTTCTTCCAACCTACTCCTACACCACAAAACATAGGTCGTCGAGGCAGTCGGTGTTTGAACATTCATAACACATGTCCCAACCACCTCAACTGATAAGGTTTAAACAATTCGATCATTGATTGATCTGCCATCCTTACCTAGTACTCGGTTCCTAATGGCAGCATTGCTTACTGGGTTATCCCACGATATACAAGCAATGCTTCGGAGAAACCTATGATCGAATACTAGTAACCTACGAATATCTTCACTCTTATCGGTCACGTTTCGCAACGATATAGGAGAACGGAGCGAACTGCTGCACAGTACACTCGACCTTCGCTTAGCAAACGGATATCTCGCCTACGCCATAAATGACGCAAGTTGACAAAACCAATCGAGCCTTCTGTATCCGTGCTGAGATTTCGTCAGTCACCAAACCATCAATGCTGATGAAACTCGTTGGCCATATGTACATCAGATCTGTCGGGCATTTATGAAACTTGCCTCGTATCAGCCAAATCTATTCTCTGACTCAATCTGTGTTCTCAAAATATTCAAGCATTGCTTCAAAGGTAAAATATATCGAACTTTTAAGTAAATATGAATTCCGGGAAGGCACTTTCGAACACCATGAATTTGATAGTGTTGTGGATGTTACCATGGTGATACGCAGCATTTATCATTAATTGGTTATAATATATATGTGGTCTTATTCTGTTATCGTGTTTCTACTTCAATCAGTTCTTAAGAATTATATGAGAAATTTCGAGACGCTTACTTATTATCAGAATAGGGTTGTGAAGATTGTTGAATTTCATTGAAATAACGATTCGATCCGAGTAAGATAGCTATTGTAAACATGGAAGCACTAGACAACCGTTTCGTCCTAGAGTTGGACTACTAGGCAGTGTGCATCCACAGCCCCTCGAAAGGAAACCTAGCCAAGAATCTTCAGTCTAGCGCGTGAATGCTTAACCTGTTGACTACTCAATCGGGGTCCGATTTTATATCAGTAAAACCGAAATCAATCTATAGTGTTACGCGATCATACTCTAATGTTTTCGGTGGGGTAACATGCACACAAGTCATTTACACAGTTTTAACATAACTCACTCAATGCTATTTAGTGATTTTGATAAACGTGAATAACAACCTTTTCTCCTACTTCACAATCCTACTATTTTCATTGTTAACACTAACATTGTTAAAACTTCACTGTGATATCGTCTAATTATATCACACAAGTAATGCCTATAACATTGTTATTGTTACGACTTTCTTTTGTAGAAGAAATTTCACGTCAATTTTATTATGTTTCAACGTGAGTGATAAAGACTACATACCCAGTTCATCCAATAATATCTTTACATTCTGTGTGCATATTGAATATACTGAAGTTATTTATCTATTCTGATGTAGTATAATGCTGATTAGTGCAATAAATGATGGTGATGGAGCCTGATTCATGTTATGAAGAACGGTAAAGTAGATAATATAACCTACATAGAACGTATTATTCATTTCTAATTGGTTACCTTTAGCAAATGTGATTTGATTAGCACAACATGAATTATTTCTAGCTCTTCTCAACTTCCGGTTCGCGAAACGAACTAGTTAAAATTGTTCTATTCGGACTTGTTGGTCCTAGAGAAATGCGCATTGCTTTTTTTCCCAATTTCAAAGCTTTTATAATATGATCAATTAATTTTGGTTCGTCGAAAATTGTAATTATTAAGATGAATTTTGCTTGCCCGCCTAAATATGGTTTTAGTAACTGTGTGAGTTTCGAATCATGGTATGGTACGGTTATTAGATTAGCATTATGTTCACCGGATTTCAATGAATGATTGAGACGTCGAAGTGCTTCAAATACACGTGCCAATGTTGCTAAGGACTTATTGACATATTCAATTTCTACACGTGCATCACAATTAGTTTTATTTCGTTCTGCACTTTCTGATCCAGCAAGATCACATAAAATTAATGATGAATTACGTTCTGTTTTATTGAATGCATCGTATAGTGTAATCTGTAAACGGATTATGCAATGTGCACGTGATGGTTCGATATCTGGTGTATTCGATATCAATTTATGTTGTATATTACCTTTTGTTATCCAATAAATCATGTCATGTTCATTAGCTGCGATTTTCTCTTCCATTTCAATCAATCTTACATCAATACTCTCATCGGATAATTTCACTTGTTTGGTTTTTTCACTCAGTAAATCGTAGATAATTTCGTTATGTATTGCAAGCATTGCAATGCTGATTTGTGTAGTCCAAATAATTTGTAATGATCGACATAGTTCAAATAGTTTAGTTATTGATCTCAAAGCAATACCAGGATCATTAACTGAACCTTGTATTGTATACGTTTTACCTGAAGCTTTAAGCCCATATGCCATTATACAGACGTTGTGACCATCTATGCATGAAGTGATAAATGGTTGAATCTCTTCAAACACATCTAGTTGTTTGGCTTCAGGACGAAAGACACGATTAAATTTAAATACGTATTCATTCACAGTATGCTTCCTCGTTGACTTTAAATGCGTATGACGTTGATGCACATTTACAATCGGTAAAATAATTCGATCAATTGATTTAAACTTAAGTATACAGGGATTATTTGATTTAGTTGCAGGACGACATCTGCATAAAACTTTAACATTCCCACTCACTTCTTGTAGCTGGTTGTGCAAAAGTCTTCTTTTTTCATTTTCTTCAGTGAAAAGCTGTTGAAGTTGATAGTATTCTCTTTGTAACGCTTGAAAGTTTTCACAAATTTTAGTAATTTCATTGCTAGGCGAACTATTGTTTATTTGTTCAACCTGATTTTGTGTTAATTCATGTTTTAATATTTTATTTTCATGTGTTAATTGTTCTATTCTTACACGTAAATTTATCTCCTCTTCGTATCTGCGTTGTATTTGTTGTTTTAGTTGTACATTGTTGAGTTTTAGGTTTTCGCATTCTTGTATTACAGTTCCTGACGACATTCCCAATTCTTTCGATAGACTTTCCAAATTTGCATTTTTGAATTTTACTTGATTTAGTTCGTTTTTTTGATTTTCCTCATGTATTTTAAGGATCGCATAAATTTCATAATATTGTTGTAATATTGATTTGATTCGTAATAAATTTTCAACCTGAATTATTTTATCCTCTAAATCTCTTTTTAATTGAATAATATGCTTCCATAAAGTCATATGCTCTAATGTTAGACCATCCAAAAGTTTACGTGTATTTAAATACTCGTCATTCAATATTGTCAAGTCTTCTTTTAATATATCAGTTTTTCGTCGTAAATTTTGTTTTTCTGACAATAAACTTTGTGTCATTCTAATTAACTTTGAATAACTTTCGTCATTTATCGTAACAGATTTACTTTTACTGTGTTCGATCGCTTTGAATTTTTTCATGGATTTCAGTAGTTGGAACATAAATGCTTCTATAATTGTTTGTTTGGTATGCAAATCTTTCAATAGATTTGATTTTATAACTTTAGACAGTTCACTAACATCAATCTGTTCCATTGCACCTGATCCGTTCGGTTGTTTCTTAGATGAATAAACACTATCTTCCAGGAATTTTGTTGTTCGATATGATGTATATCCTGGTGGTGGTCTGTACATTTGGGCATCACTTAATTCCGCTGGTACATTTGTGGACATTTTTTACAGGTAAGAACAACAGGTATTTAGAATGTGCGACTTTGTTATACTACTTAAGTGTAAATCAACGGGTGCTTATTTATATTTTTTAAAATAACCAGCATTATTGATTATTGAGGTTTTAAACTATCACATGGTTATCGATCAACTAAGTGACGTGACTATGTAATTTAAAGCAAAAGTCCAATGTTTGTTCATTCCTCTCATATCTTTCTCTATTTCTGGGCGTAATGTATTCTTTGTCCTTCCTCTTTTCCTTTTGCCTTGAGGGTTCCATGTGAGGGCTTGTCTCGTGACGCAGTTCGGTGCTTTTCGTAGTGTGTGTCCTATCCACTTCCACCGCTTCTTCCCGATTTCCTCATCCACTGGAACCTGGTTCGTTCTCTCCCACAGTTCGTTGTTGCTGATGGTGTCTGGCCAACGAATACGAAGTATTTTGCGTAGACAACTGTTCATAAATACTTGTATCTTCTGGATGATGGCTTTCGTAGTTCTCCAAGTTTCCGCTCCATACAGTAGAACTGTCTTGACATTTGTATTGAAAATCCTGATTTTGGTTTTGGTTGAAAGTTGTTTGGAGTTCCAGATATTTTTCAACTGTAGAAATGCAGCCCTTGCTTTGCCAATCCGCGCCCTCACATCTGCGTCCGATCCACCTTTCTCGTCGATGATGCTGCCAAGATATGTGAAGGTGTTAACGTCCTCCAAGGTATCTCCATCAAGCGTGATTCGGTTGGTGCATGTTGTGTTGCATCGGAGAATTTCGCTCTTTCCTTTATGTATGTTGAGACCTACTGCTGCAGAGGCTGCTGCTACACTCGTCGTCTTCTCTTGCATTTGTTGTTGAGTGTGCGATAGAAGAGCCAGGTCATCTGCGAAGTCCAGATCGTCCAGCTGCGTCCTAACTGTCCAGTTGATACCGTGCTTCCCTCCAGACGTCGACGTCTTCATAATCCAGTCGCTGAGCAGGAGAAAGAGAAAGGGTGAGAGTAAGCAACCTTGCCTGACACAGGTCTTCACCTCGAACGAGTTTGTCAGCTGACCTCCGTGCACGATTTTGCAGTTGAATCCATCATAAGAATTCCGTATGATGTTAACTATTTTCTCAGGCACAGCGTAGTGTCGAAGAAGCCTCCACAGTGTTTTCCTATCCACGCTATCGAATGCTTTCTCGTAGTCGATGAAGTTGATTTGGAGTGGTGAGTTCCATTCAATTGATTGTTCCACAATGATCCGTAATGTTGCAATTTGGTTGGTACACGATCGATCTTTACGAAATCCAGCCTGTTGATCTCGTAGTTGGACGTCTACGAAGTCCTTCATTCTGTTTAACAATACCCTGTTGAAGACTTTGCCTGGTATTGAAAGAAGAGTGATGCCTCTGTAGTTCTCACACTTGCTCAGGTCGCCTTTCTTTGGTATTTTGATGAGGTATCCTTCTTTCCGATCTGATGGTACTTGTTCCTCATCCCAAATCTTCTTGAAGAGGATGTGAAATATTTTCGCAGTTGCTTCTACATCTGCTTTCATTGCCTCTGCTGGAATGTTGTCTGGTCCTGCTGCTTTGCCGTTCTTGATTTGTCTGATGGCCATACTGATCTCCTCAATCGTAGGTGCGCCAATATTAATTGGGAGACCCGTGGATGCCGCTTCGATGTTGGGTGGGTTCAGTGGAGCTGGTCGATTCAATAGTTCCTTAAAGTGCTGTACCCACCTATTTCGCTGTTGTTCAGTGTTGCTGATTACTTTGCCTTCCTTGCTTTTCACTGGTCGTTCTGGTTTACGATAGTTTCCGGCAAGCTTCTTTGTTGTCTTGTACAATTGTCTCAAGTTTCCTTCTCTTGCAGCCCTTTCCGCCGTCATTGCTAGATCCTCCACATATTTTCTTTTGTCAGCTCTGATGCTCTTCTTCACTTCCCTGTTTGCTTCTGTGTATGCAGCTTGTGCGGTAACTTTCTCTGCTCTTGTTCGGCTGACATTGATTGCTGCCTTCTTGTTCCTCCTTTCTTCAATTTTTGCAAGAGTATCAACAGAGATCCATTCCTTGTGATGGTACTTCTTGTGACCCAGAACTTCGTGACATGTTGAAGTGATTGCCTCCTTAATCCCTTTCCAATTGTTCTCCAACGTTGCGTCCTCTCCATTGTGCAGATCCTGAAAGGCCTGGAACCTATTGGTGAGGGCTATCTTGAATTCATTGAGCTTTACAGTATCCCGAAGAAAGGCCGTATTAAACTTGTGCGATGTTGTCTGCCCCGTTGTTCAGTGCTTCTTTAGTTTCAGTTTCATTTTGGCGATTAGCAAATGGTGATCTGAGGCTATATCAGCTCCTCTCCTGGTTCGCACATCCTCCATAGTCCTTCTGAACGTTTTGTTGATACAGATATGATCAATCTGGTTTTGAGTAGTGTGATCCGGTGAAATCCATGTAGCTTTGTGTATGCGTTTGTGCGGGAATATTGTGCCACCGATGACCAGTTTGTTGAAGGCACATAGGTTTGCAAATCTCTCACCATTTTCGTTTCTTTCTCCCAGTCCATGTCGTCTCATGATGTCTTCATATCCAGTGTTGTCCATTCCAACCTTAGCATTCACGTCTCCCATAAGAATCGTCAAATCCTTTGGTGAACATTTCGCGACGATTGACTGCAGTCTTTCGCAGGATTGATCATCAACGTCGTCATTGTAGTCATTGGTAGGTGCATAACATTGGATGACGTTCATTGTAATGTCCTGTTTCCTTGTTTTGAAGGATGCTTTGATGATCCTGGGTCCATGAGATTCCCATCCTATTAGTGCCTTTTGTGCATGTTTGGACAGCATCAGTGCAACTCCTTGTGTATGTGAAGCATTTTCCTCTTCATGACCAGAGTATTACAGCAGTTCCCCTGAAGCTAGTCTCAGTTGTCCTACCTGTGTCCAATGCGTTTCACTGATTCCAAGCACCTCCAGGTTGTATCTTTTCATTTCTGCCGCAACTTGAAATAGTCTTCCAGTCTCCCACAATGTACGAACGTTCCATGTACCTAAAAGAATGGTTGCTCTGGTTGTCAGAAGAGGCATCGGCCCCGTGAGTTCCGAGGGAACTCGGCTTTCATCACGCGACGTCATAATTCTTCCTCCAACTCTCAGGGCAGAGTTAAAATGGTTTGAATTATTTTTTCTGGTTAGCGTTATTTTGGCAAGTTAGTTTTTGACGGAATGGGGTCGCCAACCCCATGTCCAACCCTCCTACTTTACCCGGGCTTGGGACCGGCAGTAGCCCCGAAGGTTCTACTGGCGGAGTTCAGTCAGCTGTAGCTTCCGTATATTGTACTATATATCCATGTAGCATATCACACTGCTATTAAGTTAACTAATCAATCGTAGAAGTTGTAAGAAATGGGTCAGTTAATAGGTAGTTTGTAGATAGGAAAGATAGATAGCTGACGAAAGAGAGTGAAGAAAAATAATGTTAAAAATTCATGAGTAGGAAGATAAGTAAAAAAGTAAGGTGTTTGAATGTTAATAAATTGGAGACATAAAAACGTATTCGATTGCCAATACACGAACAAGAAGGAACTCACAATGATAGTTTGAGTTTCTTGTGATCGGCAGTAGTTGGGCAGTATCTACAGGCTTTCTTTACTTGTTGCAAACGATAGATCATATATAATTTTATAGAAGAGTATTAGGTTGTTTTTCAACAGACGGAGCCATAGAGGTTCTAGGGAAAGACGTTCGAATGTTTCTGTGTAGTCAAGAGAATGGTTACATCCTAGGAGTTCGGCTGTGATGCTTCTCTGGACATTTTCTACTCGTATTTTGTCGACAATATTCATGTTTGAAGAGATAAGTAGGCGGTATTCAAGAGAGGGGGCTTTATTCACATTTTGAAGAGTGTAAGCGTAGCCCCACCTGTCAAGAGGTTCTTATTCATGAACACCATAAGCCGTCTAGATTTGGAGATAATCGAAGAGGCACATTCTTAAAATTTCAGGCCTCTTCAAATATGTTGTGCTAATAGAAATAATAATTTGAGAATGAATTATTATTAAATAACAATATGTCGCATGAGGTATACCAGTTTACAGGCTAGGTCAAAATGTATCTGACTACCAAGTCAGCTCTGATTCTCCTGTAACTCAGTGGGAATCATCTCAAGTGTTAGGGTCTGCCTTCGTAAATATTTTCTTATAAACGTATGAGCGACTCAGTTGTTCATCTTTGCACTCGATTCAAGAGATTTATATCTTTCCTAAGGAGACGTGGTAAAGAAACATTATGAACTTCAAGGTGCGGCGATGCGTATATTCTCAAGTGAGTTATGAACATTTGTGTGGTGACTGCATCAACTTTCATTCGCAAAAATTTAAGCGTTGCATCAGCCTTAGCTTTTTCCCTTAAGTAGTTTGAAATTGTGTTTATGCTTTCTGTGGTTATCAGACGGAGAAGAGACTTTCATGGAAATCTAAGTAGTTAATGTCGCATGTGTCAGAATGTTCACTATCAGTCATTTCGATTGGTGAAGCATTAACCTGTCGTCGGTTGCCCACTCCTCAATCGCTCTCTGGTCCTTTTGAAGCTCAGTTTAATCCTCTTCCTTCCTTATCGACATATCTTTGGGTCCTCTTCGTCGATTGATCTCGTTGAGATAATTTTGTCTACCAAGTCATTGATAAATATCGGTAGGGTGGTGTGGGTCTGAAATGCTCCGTTGTGAAACTACTGATATCTAGACTGGCTAGTTGACATGCATTTCATTTACCTTTGCATGAAACCTCCTGTTCTCTGAGTACTTTCTGAGTCATGAACTAAGTTAGACTTTGAAGCCCATCTTCGCAACCCTTGCGATTGAGAGTATGTTATTTACTGTATCGGAAGCTTCAGCAGTGTCGTGGAATGTTGTGTGAACCGGTATCTTTTAGTTCCAACAGGCTGTCCAGCTCACTAAGCAATGAGAAGTTTGAATGCGCATCAACTGCTTTTAGTAAATCTGTGTTGAAATTCATGTAGGATGTTGTTCTCATCGATATATTCCCTCATTAGCTTATTCACTAGTTCTTTCCGATCAATTTAATTAGATATGTCACCATTTTGCCAACTTTATAATCATTCCCAATCCAATGATATTTCAAACTTCTCTATGTAGATATCAACGGTTATCACGCTCGAATTTGTATCCGGCTCGTCCAGGTTCGGGTCATTCGTGACGAAGATGTGATAATTATGAGTAATCGTTTTCCGTATGCAAACTAGAAACACCCAGAAAAGTTAGATTCTTGCTCTGACGGTTACGTATGAAAGAGTAATGAAATAAAGAACTACGTAGGTAAAAACAAATGCACGGCAAAGCTCCAGTGATATATCCATTGATGGAAGTTGCTGAACACTTCAAGGGCAAACCGTTGTAAAACGATTGGTACATCACACGGACAATTTATATACTTTTCAAGAAACAGTTAATAAGACAATTTCAAATATGATTTTATCTCAGCCAATCAGTACGATAACCTCCATGTTGCCAGTAGTGAATGTGATGTCATTATAGTGACTCATGATGAAGAACAATTATTCAATAACACTGAGCTGTTGCAGCGATTTACCGATTAAGACATTATAGAGGCTTGTCTGAATTAAGTACTCAAGGTATGATGACTTCTATGATCGATTTTTTGCAAGATTTACACACATAAATTGCGTCATGTAAAAGCAACGAGTTTGACTCAACTTTCAAATGTTTTAGTGTAGATTTCGATGGTAATATCTGTGAGATATTAGAAATAGATATTCCTATATATCAGATATTAATTTTTAAACCAATGGAAATAAATGCAACGTTACTACTTCCTACGTACCAATTATTTGATCGACACCGTCCATACGCAGCTACCTTCCCAAACATTTAACTATCTCTTTTATAGTTAATTCCGAAGTATTGTGTAGACAGTAGTTGTAGTAGTAGTAGTAAGAGTGATATCTAAACTCAAATAACAGTGTTAGATGAGGCAGGCCAGTTTACTCGTAAAATCAAATATTTACAAATGCTAACACATTTGCATTCTCAGGTTGCTAAGCAAAACATATAGCTGCACGTTTTTCTGTCGAGAGTGTTATACCTCAATCCAGTGTCCTGCAACCGTCCGGAGAAGAGCATTCAATATTGCCTGGCATTGTTTACTCATTGTCGTAAGACTATTACAATTGTTGATCCAGATTCGTCAACTGTCAATATAATCAGCGTTTCGGTGTTATGTGTGCCAACATGACCTAACGATGTGTTCTCTCACCGTAGAAAATGCTTTCTTAAACGTGTGGTCCAGGATAATGGTTCTCGTAGTTCGAAGTAGTCGATCAGCTAATGGTCTCATGAGAGACGCGCACTTCGGCATGAACCGTCATTAGAAAGCTACGATTCCGTAAAAATTGTGTGGTAGCTTAACTGTGGTCGGCTCTGGGTAATTCCTAATGTTATCGTACAAATGCGACCATCCACTTGCAAGATTCAACTTCGGAAATATATGCAGAACCTGGTATAGTTACTCAAAATGAAAATGAGAGGTTAAAGGATTCAGCTGGTTTACAATAGCTCGTCACTAAGAGATCGGACATTATTCTATATCTTGCCTATCAATTTTTCTACAAAGAATCATAGGAAATGAATTAAAATCAAAGCTAAGCTGGGTCGCTTATTGCGTAACAATTTAAGAAATCTCAAATGAAACAAAAATTAATGAAGCTTTATCACTTAATTTATTGTCATTGTTTCATATTTTAAAGAGAAAATGTGATTAACATAGTACAAGAATTAATAAAAATTAATAAAGTAAATGCATTTCACTGCATTATTATGAATTCCATCAAGAGTTTGAGCAAATTGAGAATGCATGCCAACGTTGGATTAGAAATAAAGAGACAACTATTGACAATGAATAAAATTTATTGTGCTTAATGATTCATAACCTAAAATGTACAAAAGAGTAGAATGCCAAATTTTCATATTACAATATTAATTAGTTAAAATTATATTATAGTCATAATATAAGTTATTATTAAACAAATTGAGCATTAATCATTTATAAATTGAAATAATACGATATACACCATCATTGAACTCAACAATAATAGCAGTTGATTTCGAAAACTTTATTTTTGCTGCAACCTGAATGAAGCTATTTTATTTCATTACAACAACAAAATATTTAATATCTGTTCACTATTTTCTGTAACTGAGACCACATTCAAAATGTGTAGAGTGCGATATTAGGTCATTTACAATTTTGTATAAAAAGCATCGAGAATATTTAGTCAAAAATTCTCAGGTCTACTAAAACCAAATAAAAAATTATTACTTTTTACCTTCTCTTTTTGTAGTTGTGATGAAAGTGCACATGAAAATGAATATATGAAGTAGGTGAAGTATTTTCTTCAATTCTGATTTTCCATAAAACATTAAAAAGTAAAAAATTGATTGACTTATTTTAGTTCTATTTATTTCTCGTTACACAGTGAACTTACTGTCCTCGCTGCAGATATAAAATTTTTTTGGAAAATTAATTAATTGTATTAAAGATTCCGATTGTGAAAATTAGAACAACACATAAGCGATTAGATCGTCATCAGGCTTTACTCTAATATACATGAATATTTATATGTAAATGTTAAACCTATCAAGGCAATTTGAGTGATAATCACAATGAAATGAAAAAAATTACGTCTCTACATATAATAGGCAAAAGTTCAAGTGGATAATAGGAAGACAGGTGTACTGATAGTAGTAAGAAAATTATGAAATATGATAACTAAAGTTTTACATTTTTGAAACCATGAATCGATCAACGTTAGACCACCATTAGAAACCCAGAAGCACTGGACGGCCGTTTCGTCCTGGTATGGGACTCCTCAACAGTGCGCATCCACGACTCCTGCACCCAGCAGGATTCGAACCCAGGACCTTCGGTATTGTAGGCGAACGCCTAACTAAAGTTTTATCAATAGTAGGTCAAAGGTGGATGAATAGACTTTAAATAAACATACTATTGATAGAACTTTAGTCATAGTATTTTATAATTTTCTTACTAATATTGTAGTGAAAGAGAACACAGGTGGGGCAACCGAATTGTATTTAACGAAAATTACAGAGTTACTCAGTAAAATTGGAAAACCATATCGTAAATCGTTCATTTGCAAAATAACAGTTCATCATATCGAACTGGACTGTTCCTGTTGCAAAACATCAATCCATTGTCACTATTCATGCGTTTCATACAAATTCCGTTGTTTTCTAACTCTTCTTTTCTTGATCTTCCCCCCCATCTTCCGCTGCCAGACATTACGTTGACGCTCACGTCATATACTACTTATAAGTAGCTCGCACCACAGCACCACAATATCAGTACACCTGTCTTCCTATTATTCACTTGAACTTTTGCCTATTATATGTAGTGATGTAATCTTTTTCATTTCATTGTGATTATCACTCAAATTGCCTTGATAGGTTTAACATTTACATATCAATATTTATGTATATTAGAGTAAAGCCTGATGACGATCTAATCGAAAACAATATTGTTCGCTTATATGTGTTGTTCTCATTAATTAATTCAATAGAATGTTGTAAATCCGCCTGAAGCACCTCTGAGGCTACTGCCAGTCACAGACGGGAAAAAGAAGGAGGGTTGGGCATGAGGATGGCGACTGCATCGCGTAGAAAACTAACTCGCTTAAAAAAACGCTAACCAGAAAACATAACTCAAACCATTTTAACTCTACCCTAGGAGTTAGGTCTACTTTCAGAAGAATTATAACGTCATATAATGAAAGCTGAATTCCTTCGGAAGTCACAAGCCTGATTCCCCTTCTGACAAGCAGAGCAACCATTGTTTTGAGTATATGGAATGTTTGAACATAGTGACAGACAAGATCGTTCCAAATTGCTGCAGAGACAAAGAGATACAACCTGGAGGTACTTGGAATCAGTGAAACACACTGGACGCAGGTAGAACAACTAAGACTAGCTTCAAGAGAGCTGCTGTTATATTTTGACTATGAAGAAGAAAATGCTACACACTGATGCTGTCCAAACAAACATAAAAGGCACTGATAGGATGGGAATCTCATGGACCCGGGATCATCAAAGCATGCTTCAAAAGAAAGAAAAAGGGTATTACAATGAACGTTATCCAATGCTATGCACCTAACAACGATTACAATGACGACGTTGAAGATCAATTATATGAGAGGCTGCAGTCAGTGCGGGAGAGACAATTCTGATGGGAGACCATTTAGGTTGGCATGAACAATACTGGATATGAAGACATCATGTGACGACATGGATCGGGAGAAAAGAACGAAAACGGTGAGAGGCTTGCAAACCTATGTACCTTCAACTGACAATCGTCGGAAAAATATTCCCACACAAATGTATACACAAAGCGATATGGATTTCACCGAATCACACTACTCAGAAACAAATCGATCATATCTGTATCTGGAGGATGTGAGAACCAAGAGAGGAGCTGATATTGCCTTAAATCGCCACTTTCTGGTCGCCAAAATGAAACTACAACTCAAGAAACACTGGAAAACAGGGTGGAAAACATCACAAAAATTTATTAAGGCATTTCTTCGGGATACCGTAAAACTCAATGAATTCAAGATAGCCCTCAGTAATAGACTCCAAGCTTTTCATGATCTACTCAAGACAAGGACAAGAAACTAACATGGCGAACAATTGGAAAGGGATCAAGGAGAGAATCACTTTAAAAATGTGATGAGGTCCTGGGCCACAAGAATGAATCACTGTTGGTACCGAGGATAAGATTCAACAAAGGCGGAATAGGAAGGCTTCAATCAATATCAGCCGAAAAAGAGAAGAGAATGTCAAGGCACAAGCTGAATACACAGAAGCAAACAAGCAAGGGAAGAGGAGCATCAGAGCCGACAAACGTAAATATGTAGAGGATCCAACAATGCCGGTGGGAAAGGCTGCAAGAGACGGAAACTTGAGACAATTGTACGATAAAACAAAGAAGCTCGCTGGAAACTATCGTAAAGCAGAACGACCAGTGAAAAGAAGGGAAGGTAAAATGAAGAACAGTGGGACAGGTGCGTAGAGCACTTTAAGGATCTCCTGAATCGACCAGTCCCGTCTAATGCACCCAACATCGAGGCAGCATCCATAGACCTCCTAATTGATGTAGGCCCACCAGCAACTGAAGAGATAAGCATGGCCAACAGACAAATCATGAGCGGCAAAACGGCGGCACCAGACAAAATTCCAGCGGAGGCGATGAAAGAAGACGTGGCAGCAACTGCAAAATTATTCCACATTCTCTTCAAAAAGATTTGGGATGAAGAACAAGGGTCGATCACGTAACAACCAGATCTCAGCACTACGGATCATTATGGAACAATCAATTTGATGGACCTCACCATTCTACATCAACTTCCTTGACTACGAGAAAACATTCGATAGCGTGGACAGGATGACATTATGGAGGCTTCTTGGACACCACGGTGTACGTGACAAGATAGTCAACATCATACCGAATTCTTACGATGTACTACACTGCAGCTGATGACTCATTTGAGATTAAGACCGGTGTCAGACAAGGTTGTCTACTCGCGCCTTTTCTCTTCTTCCTGGTGGTCGACTGGATTATGAAGACGTCACACTGTCTGGGAGTGGGCAGGGAATACAGTGAACAGTTGGGATGCAGCTGGACTAATTGGATTTCGTAGATGATCTGGCTCTTCTATCGCACACGCATCGTAAAATATAGTAGAAGACAACCAGTGTATCAGCAGCAGTGACAGGTCTCATCATACATAAAGGGCAAGGCAAGATTCTCCGGTACATCACATGCGCCAACCAAATCACTGTTGATGGAGATGCCATGGAGAACGTGTAAACCTCTACATATCTGGGCAGCATAGTCGACGAGCAAGGTGGATCTGATGCAGATATGAAGGCGCCGATCGGCAAAGCAAGGAGAGCATTTCTAAAGTTATCCAACATCCGGAACTCAAAACAACTGTCGACAAACACCAACAAACACAATTTCCAATAGAAATGTCAACGCAGTTCTACTGTATGGCGCGGAACCGTGGAGAACAAACAAAGCCATCATCCAGAAGATACAAGTGTCGTCTAAGCAAAATACTTTGGATTCGCTGGCCAGACACCGTCGGCAACAGCCTACCGTGGGAGGGAACAAACCAGATTCCAGTGAAGGAGGAAATCAGGGAGAAGCGATGGAAGTGGATAGGACACACATTGCGGAAAGCACCCAACTGTGTCACAAGACAATCCATCACTTGGAACGAAAATTGGACAGCACTGGAAAGGAAGGCCCAGGACAGAATAGGTTCGAGAATACTGGCCGGTGGTCTACGCTTAATTGGGGGTAACAGGCGTAAGTAAGTAATATGATGTTGTACAGGATACACACTTGATAAAAAACATCTTAAACAAGCATGAATTTCGGATCACTAATGGATTTCTAAAACTTCATAAAACAATCCAAATAAGCATTTAGTAATGGTGTTCTTCAAAGAAAAACAGTGCCAACAGTCTCGACAGTCAGTGTTTTGTTTCTGAAGCTATTGTTTCACTATATCTTGAACTTGATGTTAATCTTACTAGCAAGATGCAAATGACCAAACATCATGGAGCATGTAGGTTAACAAATAATGACTCATCCGAGTGTGAAGCGCCACTGAATTAAAGCAACGAATTAGACTGAATAGTAGTACTTATTAGCAAGTATATTTTAGTTATGGTCAACAGTTTACTACATATAACCTTATGTGGTTCATAAATTGCCTTTACCTACAAACACCTTCAATCTGTCAGAAATATGTAAACAAATTAAAACCAAATAAAAAATTAGCGGGCAGTTGTTTCGATATTTTGCAATGCTTAAGGTATTTTTTGTTGAATGAAAATAAATATGAATCACGTTTACAATCACGATTGAGTAACTAAGCCGTATGATCATTGAGAAAGCACAATCCGAATCAAATATGACGGAGAGATACGGCTTGCAAATTTGAAGATGAGAACAATATTTATGATAGATAAAACAATTAAAAGTTTAGACTTACCTTAAGCTTACTTGTTTGAAATGATGCAGGTGAAAATAACAGAGTTGGGTCGAATGGCTCATTTTCCTCGACACAAAGCTTGTACTTGTCAGACGAAAATCAGTTATCAGATATAGCCATTTTTGAAGGTGAAGAAACTGGTGAATTTGAAGAATATACGTTCGGAGATGGTTGGATAGACGCAAGCTTTTTGGCCACGCATAAAGTAGTTGACCTTGTGACGGGTGAGGATTTTGCAGGTTGACAGTTTGTAATTATGTGGGGTAAGTTGACAGAAGCGTAACTTTTGCGCTGAGTTGAAATGTCAGAGTTTTTGGGAAGCATTTTATTATTAGGATGGGAGTTAGATGATCCTAAATTACCTCTTAACGTACGCGGCATAGGTCGACTGCGGATACTGTACGGGTAAACGGACCTTTCTGTATTAGGATCTCCAGTCGTTGGGCAATCTTTTATTTGACAGAAATTAATAAACTAAAGATTGTTAGTGTAGTCTGATAAAATTAGCAAAACGGAAAAAACACTGAGTCTTATACAAATACAGTTACGCCAAAATGATATGTACATATTGTTTATAAGTATTCAATCTGTAAAACTGATGCTGTTAACTATTTAGTGTATTTCCATATCATAGATCTAAAAAAAACACTTTTGAAAGATGAAAAATCACCGACAATACAATGTACGAGGAAGAGTAAAATCATATGAACTTTAAGTATACATCTATGAAGTCCTGCGTTGTTAGTACCGTTTTACAGAATGAAAGTTTGACAACAAAGGAAACTGATCAGTGACAAAAATTCTAATGATCCAGAAGAAGTCCATGATAATAACAATAATCATCTCCTTCCAAAACATGTTACTACAACAAGAAGACTATCTATAACTAGAAAGTAGGAGAAATGATGTGCGTTGACGGTCAACAGTTGGTCATAAGTAATCGGATTCATTACCATAATCAGTAAATATTGTTCAGAGAATCAACAAGCATGACGATTTAACAAGTTACTGACATTAAATATTTCCTCTTACTGGATATGAACATTGTTGTTGAGATTATATAAGTAAACAGTCTGAACAATGTCGTTTGTGTATGTAGTAAAACGGTGAAAGCGAATGATTAAAAGCATATTTTTCCAATACAGTTTGCAAGAAGATTATCCAGGAGCTCAACCAGAGTGGATACGAAGCGGCTGAATTGCATATACTAAAGTAGATGTAAAATGATATGCAGGGTAATGATTATTTTCGACTAGTTAAACACAGGTAGGTGAACCAATTATCCCTTTTTATAGTCATTCTAGGTAGCTAGGAACATAGATAAGAACGTAAAAACCATCCAGTGATCAAAAATCTTCGTTTTGCTTTAGAATGACAATTTAAACAAATGAATAGCCAACGACTCATAATTGAGTCTTTACATATAAAAAATTCTCCAATTTACATATGAGCGAAAAATTTTCGATTCCACTATTAATATATTCTATGTTTACATTTTGAAAATAAGAACAAAAGATTTGAATTGTTTTGCATCGAACAAATTTTCTTACCATGAAAGCATACAAAGTTAATAAAATCATGCACCGAAGCAAGTTCACCAATATCATTTCGCCAAAGTTCAGAAGGAATCGATTCACATGAGGATTTTGAAATCAACTGGGAATCACTTTCACAATCAAGATTTGAGGAACATTTAAAAGTGTTATCAAGTTCTGTAACAAAAGAAATGAAACGTGAACATTTTTGATTATTAAACTACAGAATTAATAATTACACAGATATCACAGGCATATATAAGCGAACTGTGAACTTTCATCAGAGCTAAACTGTACGTTCAATAAGAATAATGCCCGCGATCTGACTCCGATATTTATGAACCATTAAATATATTATGAAATAAATCTCCCCTTCAGTTTCCGTATATCATACTTAGGCGAACCCCGTTTGTGAGAAGGTGGTAATAATAATAAGAAGCCCAATATGGATTCGGTTGTATGAATTTATTCTAGGCAATCGTTCCTGCAGACAGACATGAGAACGATAACTGTACGAGCAAAGAAAAGACAAAGCGAAGTGGAGAAGGCGGGCGAGCCATCTCAATACGATGAAGCATGACTTAGTATTTATAGTTAGACAAAATAAGCTAAACATGTCATAAGCCAAGTAAGCGATGCATACAAACTCGAATAAAAACAACCAAGAAAAAATGAAATAGTTGGTAAGGTCGGAAGATATGTCAATAACTCGAAAAGACTTGACTGAGACAACCCTGCGGGCTCGAAATAAAAGTACGCACACTACACAAAATGTTCAAAAACAATAATATTTACAAAATAACTAACGACTTGTATACATCCACATCATTTTTGGAAAATATCCTCATAACTGTATATGATTTCCAGCCAAATAACTGTGCTGAATTGTTATAATATCCATAATAATAACAGCTGTAATATAACTTAAAAAATTTACAATCATGCAGTCATTTACCTGAACTCAAAAAACACCACTATCTCGAAACCAGTAGAATAAAATGAAACCTTTTTGGAGATGATTACCTCTATGAGCTGGATGTTTTGGTTGTAGAGCTTTCATTGTTCTTCTGAACAACATGATCTGCACAAACTTCAGATAGAAGTGAAGCATTCGGATTTCTCCACGTTTGACCAGTATCTTGTTCTGTTAACCTCGATCTTGACTGGTTGCTGTTGACCTTAAATCTGTCACTGTTTGCACCTTTGTTTTGATTGTATCCTCCTTTTGATCTGTTTCTTGATCCTATGTCGCCTACGATTTTTCTTCTGAATGATTGATAAATTGGGTCAATGTTGGTGTGCTTGTTGATTGACCTGAGTAACAAACTTCTAAAAATTTTCTAGTGTTCTTTGTCCTCCCCCTATTCAGTATTTGCACATTGTTTCAACCGAACGTATGTCGATAATTGTCCGTATGTATTGGTATAAGCGAAGAATTGTCGTGGTGTTTGACTGCTAACTGGTGTTCACGTAAACGAAGCTGAAGAGGACGTCCACTTTGTCCTATGTAGTGTTTTTTCAATCTGAGCAATTTATTTTGTCAATGATATTTGGTTTTTCTTCCTTTGTCGTTTTGTTCTTTGGTCTACATAGGATGGATTGAAGTGATTCTGTTGGTTTGTGTGCCACACCTATTCCAAATGGTCTCAGTGGTCCTGTTGTATGTTCCGATATGTCTTTTGTGTATGGTAGGATGATCTGTTTATTGGTTCGTGTACTTGATTTCGCTTCTGTTGACGATTTCAGTTGATGTTTTTTGATGAAGTTGTGTAGATAGCCGCTCTTTTGGAAGATGGTCAGATGCTTTTCCTCGATTTTTAGTGCTTCATATGTGCTGCAGTGTGTCTTCACCTTTTACTACTTAGTCTACTCTATGTGCTTTATGAGTGCCGTAGAAATTACAAAATTTTCTGTTGTCTGAAGTTCACCAGTTAGTAGTTCATCTATGAAATCGGCATTATTTCGAACTACTAGTTCTAGTTAAAACATTAAGCCAGATGGGCCACATAAAATTTCATTTCATCACAATTTTTATTGACCTTCGTGTTCTTCAGAAGTTCCAAGTTTAAACTTCATTTCACACAAAAATTTTCATTCTTAACAAGGCTTTTAGAAAAATCTAGTTTTTTGGGTGGTTAGGTTGTCACTGTCAATTTAATGCACTTGAAGCGTTTCTGCATAGCTGTTCGTATGTATATTTTATGTTTCTTCTGCTCAAAAATGGAGGCAGATGAGAATCGAAATAGCTGAAATCCCAAAGGTCAATAATATATTGTGCTTGTTTTCTGCAATCAATATTGGCATGTTTTATTTCAATAATTGTGTCGTCGTATAATCATGTTATGTATTATGTTGCAATTTTTATCTCACTAAGTCTACTGAATGCTTCATAATGAGATAGCGATTTAACATTACCTCAATTATCACTATTAACATTATGTACTTTGTATGAAATGTCTGGCCATCATCAAGTTTTGATTGTTTACAATCTATGATCATAATATATACCATTAGTGAAAATGTCGACTGACCATCATCATACTTAAATTGAGTAAGCATCGTTATTCCTCACTGTCTGTCTACGATTTTAATGGTTTTGAGATATATGCAAATTAGCCGGACACTTTACTTTCATTCTTAAAATATCTATATTTTAGATGTTAGTGACCAAATTGTTGTTACTCCTATTTGGGGATAAGCTGCAACCTTATCTACAACGACGGTTTAAGTACCCATCTCTCCAATATAGGATGACAGGTTGCAGTATAACTTCAGTTTGCGTAATTAGTTATTGTGTAGTGTTCACGCAAGTGTGACGATAAGGTCAGTCAATGAATCTTCATATGGTCGTTGATTGCTAGTAATTAGTTTATTATTCTGTGCAGTTATTAGCATAATTACTGAGCCACGTTGGTTTTTACTGTTTTTCTAAACAAAAAAACTCGTTTCCAATCATTTTAGTTGAGAGCGAATGAAAACTCTGTGCAGTGTTATTGAAATATTACACAAGTAATTATTCGTTTAATTGCTTAAAACAAATATCGGTACAAATAGGCACCAAAATATATATGCGCTACACAATAAAAATAAGGTTGTGCACATATAGAGAAAAAATAATGGTAATAACAAAAAATGGGTATCTTTCTCTTCACAAATTTATTTCACTGAATTATACTTCTTGAATAATATCTTCGAACCCTAATATTCTCCATTGCCAGTAATATTTCCGTTATCTCTACCACTATGCTATGTGCTATTGTGGTGTGGCAACCCTAACTGATGTACTTACGTACGAAGTTCTACGTTGTAACTGACTGACTGACTGACTAAACGAAGTTTGTACGCAGTTGATTTTGTGAGTTCGCGGGTTATTGCTACTGTAGTTGATAATTAGGTCTGTGTAGGTTGGCTTCCGAAATACTTGCGTCTCCAGTTTTCCTGTCAGTTCCGGTGATTAGCACATTAGTAAACTGTTGTTTGATTCCTTTTCCATTTTGAATTTAATGTCATCGAAGATGTTGTTGATCCGATTGTAGATGTTCTCCAGCTCGTTCCTTTTAATAATGACGAATGTGTCGTCTACATAGCAAACCAACATTTTTGACTTGATCACTGGTAAAACCGACGCTTGTAGTCTCTGCATTACAGCTTCTATGATGAGTCGTGGGATTACTGGTCCATTGGATTTCATTCTCCATTGATCTTGTTTTGATATTTGTCCTGCTTTGACAAGCTTATTTAGAGTCTTTGAGATTTGGTTGTCCAACTTTTTCATTGGGTTTATGTCGATTGGTTTATAGAGGCTTCTGTTCTCAAGTAATCTTCGGCTTTCCTGATATATTCTTCCTTGTCTATAATTACTGCAGGGAGTCCTTTGTCCTCTGGAACTATGACTATATCTTCCTCAGTTCTGAGTTTCTTTAAGACTTTTCGTGGTTGTTTCTCCTTCGTCTAGTTAGTGGTACTATGCTGTCTTATTTCTTGTCGAGTTCCTTCATTTATTCCAGCTGTTTTGAATGATGACTCCAGTGCGGCAAAGAAGCTGAGTTTCGAAGCGTCCTTTGTGTTATAGTTTAATCCTTTTTGTGTGGTCAACTTGTCGATACAACACTTAACGACAACAGGACACCTCCGAAAAGGATTAAACATAGTTGGATACCAGCCCAGTGGTCCAGAGGTTAAGCGTTCGCGCGAAAGTCCTTGGATTGAATCCTGTGAGGTGCAGAAGTTGTGAGTGCGCATTGCTGATGAGTCCCATACCAGGACGAAACGGCCATCCAGTGCTTCCAGGTTTCTAATGGTGGTCTAACAATGATTGGTTAATCATTTCAATGTGTAAAAACACTAATCTCCATAACTCTAATTGAAGAAACTGCAATTTGACAAAACCGTATGTGATGAGATATGATTAGGATGTTCAATAAGTACAAGTGATAACATGGTCAAGAGTGAAAAGTCTGTTAATAATAATAATAATAATAATAATAATAATAATAATAATAAGCATTAGTAGTACAGGATTTGTTATAACTTTACCATCAACCTTCAAAACGTTAAACGTCATAAAAAACGTTAAGGTGCTAAAAGGCAAGAACACCAAACACATAAATGCAGCAGCATGAGTTCCTTCACTAAGACAAAGTGAGAGATAAACCAACAAAAAACCGGAATTCATAAAATAACTTGGGATTTAGTGACAAAAAATAAGTATTTTAAGAATATAAAAAAGCAGCTTTCATTTTAGTCACTATCGCAACTAAACTTTATTGAAGAATTCGAGAAAAAATTAATAGTCCATAAAATTGAAAATAAAACCGAGAACTCATTTTCCGAGTGCTTGCTTACATTACGATATTTTATTTGAAACACAGAAGCATGATTTTTGTATATTATTTAATGGTGAAAAAGGAAATTAAAAATAAACTGTGCAGCAGGATCTAAGAATGTAAAAAATCTCACCTTTTACAGATAACATTCGACTGACCGAACTTATTAATAGTTTCGATCGTTTTAAACTGTGCACCAATTTCTTCGGAGACCTGCATGAAGCATATGTATGAACGTTCTCCGATCGGAGAGAACCATTTCTTAAAATAGACGAGTAAGGTGTTTTTCTAACAACAGATTTTCTGTGAGACATATTAAGCAAAAAAACAACTTTCAGATATTTTATGGCATAAAAACCTTTATTCATTATTATTAGAAACAACAAGGAAGGGTGAACTAAATAATGACACTAATACCTACCTATAACCATATCCTTTGAAAAAAATTGACCTTGTGCATGGATTACAGGTTATTCGTGTCAACATTACAAATACTGTTTCACGCTCTTTCACAATTAGAACGAAAGCACAATCTAATAGTTAGGAGTTAGAGTAGCTATAACCAGGAGCAAATCAAGGTAATTACAACACAATATTTAGAAATTAGTGAATAAAGTCTTTCATTGTGAAAACTGATATGTTGTAATATTATTAATAACAAGTATCCTTATTATTAGCATGTGTTGATAGTGGCAAACAGTGGAATCCAGGAAGTGTGTTTCGTCCTTTTTGGGATTCGTTAACTGAATGCCAAATTTGGTATCCGCTTCGGAACTAGAACTAAGTATCGTCCACTTTAAATGCCACCACGTTATCCACTTAGCTACTGGGTCCAGGCGGTCACAGACTTTTGCAATGAGGTGAAGGTTAATTTAATTGCATAGGTTGTTTGAAACTTCCCACTAATGTTCAGGATTGAAATTGATCATACAACCGGTAAAAAAGGAATAATAATGATAGGCTGCATATAGTTTCCATCCTACAAAACAAAACAGTCACCATAATTGATAACTTTCAAGTGAACTAAGAGATGGTGCGATTAAATTAGGGGGAATAAAAAAATACCACAGCATTTTTAATTATATTTGAATTTTTCAATGGTTAATTAGAAATCTTTAAATATTAAATATTACATTATCATACAGTCTGATAAATAATATCAATTAACCAAACAATTTAAGATTATATATAGTAACTTCTCATAACTCCGAAATAGTCACTGTAGTCTATCGGGACAAACGGTTAGTCAGTCACTTACAACGTAGAACTTCATTCATGATTACAAAAGTTCAGGTTGCCACATCCCATCAACACAGAGACGGAACTGTCAGATCAAACCACATAGTGGTAGAGATAGCAGAAGTACTAGCAGTAGTTGAGATGATTAGGGTTTGAAGATATGATATACCTGCACCATTGAAAACGATTTTGAGCCATGTCGTTCAAAATCTCTAACCGTCGGTGACTGTCGACCCGCGGACAACAAACACGTAGCCTATTTCTACCAACATGACTCACTCTAACTTGTCAGTGACTTCATGGATTTCTGTTGGGGATGTTAGATCCCCAAAATTCGCTTGATAATGCCGTATTTTGGTTTTCACGTTTCGCCAGCACGGGCTGATCAGATGACCTTGAGATTTCAATTCCCACCAGCAAAATCAATGGCTGTGATTGGCTGCAGTGTATTTTAGTATGCTATTTTCTTAACTGTCTCAAGGACGTTGTTATGTTGTATAAATAAACGAGAGTTGTATGCTTGATTGTACTGGGTTGCTGGGTGTTTGTAGAATATACTTTCTACGCTTACCAAGACTTCTGTTTTACCGTTTGAATTCAAGGTAGCCTCCCTGGAAGCTGGTAAAAGTCTCGTTCGCGTTTATCGACTAAGGTAAACTCGTAATAGCCTCAAGCATACTAAGTGACGAACTTATCAGTGGCGACGGGGCTCACAATTCACAATGTCAATTAATCTTGAACAGTTAGAATCTTTACTGGAACGTCAAGGTAAACGATATGAACAGTTCCAGGAACGTATGTTGGAGCTGTTAATGAAACAAATGAATTTGAATCACAGAGGTTTTGCCAATGATTCATATAATCCGCATACAGACTCGATAGTTAATTCCATTCATGAATTTCATTTTGATGGCCTTGCTGGTGTGACTTTCGAGTCTTGGTTTAAGAATTATGAGGATTTGTTCAAGGTCGACCTCAACAATCTTGATGACGCCACCAAAGTCAGAATCCTTTTGAGAAAGCTCGGCACAATCGAACACGAACGTTATAGTAATTTCATCCTCCCAAAGAACCCACGAGATTTCTCTTTTGATGCTACAATTGATACGCTGTTGCAAATCTTCTCTGAACAGTCATCTCTCTTTAATATTCGTTATCAATGCCTCAAAATAATCAAGTCAAATGAAGATGACTGGGTAAAGCATGCTGGCTTAGTAAATCGTGAATGCGAACGATTTAAATTATCATCAATGACGGAAGATCAGTTTAAGTGCCTTGTGTTTGTGTGCAGCTTACAATCTCCCGACGATGCTGATATAAGAACCAGAATCCTAAGTAAAATTGAACAGTGCCCAAACATCTCGCTTCAAGAAATAACTGCAGAGTGCCAGAGATTAGTAAACTTGAAGCATGATACCTCCATGGTCGAAAACAATGGCCTCTCATCATACGTGCATTCCATTAGTGAAAAGAAAAATTCCAATTCGGCCCAAAAACCCAAAATGAATCCACCTTCTGCTTGCTGGCACTGCGGTTCATGGCACTATGTACGGAACTGCCCATTTAGGCAGCATAGATGCAGGAAGTGTAAAGTCATCGGTCATAAAGATGGCTTTTGCCTACAGAAAAAGCCAAAGCGATCCAGAAGTGCTAAGAAGCCTGTTCCTAGATCCAGTACCAATGCATTGAGCCTAATATCTTCCTGCCAAAGCTCATCACCAGAATGCAAATAGATACTGCATCTGATGTCACTATCCTCTCACGCAAAAATTGGACCAAATTGGGCAGCCCAAGCCTGCAGCACACAACACAAAAGCCTCGTACAGCATGTGGTAATTATCTTCGTCTGTTAGGACAATTGGAATGTAAAGTTGCTTTCCGAGATTCGTCGTTTACTGGGGTATGCTATATAACGCCAGCTGATCTAAATTTACTTGGTTTAGATTGGCTCGACCAGCTAAAATTGGCTGATGTCCCGCTAAATACCGTATGCAACCTGGTATCACAACGACATGACACAGAAGCGTATACGAAGAAGCTGATGACAGAGTTTTCAACCATTTTTGAACCTGGATTAGGTCGGTGCACTGCTATGAAAGCAACACTTCGGTTGAAACATGGGGCTAAGCCTGCTTTTCGTCCAAAGAGACCTGTACCGTATGCTACATTAGCAACAGTAGATGAAGAGCTGGATCGCCTTCAACAACAAGGAGTTATTACTCCCGTTTCTTACTCCAGTTGGGCAGCACCTATAGTCGTTATCAAGAAGGCCAACGGCACGATACGTATATGTGCTGACTTCTCTACAGGTCTCAACGCAGCTCTAGAACAGCATCATTATCCTCTGCCAGTCCCAGCAGATCTGTTCACTATGCTGAATGGGGGAAAGTTCTTCGCAAAGCTTGACCTAGCTGATGCTTATTTGCAAGTGGAAGTCGATGAAGCATCTAAAGAGCTGCTTACTATCAACACTCATCGTGGTTTGTTCCAGTATAACCGTCTACCTTTTGGAGTTAAGACTGCCCCATCTATCTTCCAACAATTAATGGATACTGTTGTAAACGCGGCTACGTAAATCTTCAGTCCTAACGGCGTCCAATTCAAATATCACAAAACGACCCAAAGGCTTTCCCAAATCTCCTAGAAATCAGAACGTAACACCGTGGCAGGAAGATGTTTATTGGGTCGTAAACAGAAGTAGGCAGGGGAAACGGAATTATTCAGTCTTCCAGATAGCGCGTATTTATACACTAAGGTCGAATAAGAAAAAGCATCAACGTCCGTGACATTGACAATTTAGGACGACCAATGGAAAAGAATATTTGAATGACATTGACCGTCCAGATGACCAATAAGAGGTAACATTGAAGTATTTGACCCTGACGGTAAGAACGATCAAAATTTCGGCCAATAGAATTCGACCAATAGGATTGCAGTTCTAAAAATAGTATTCTTAGGATATTTAGTGAATATCCTAACACCTCCCTCTGGAAGAAAAAAAAGGAAAAAAATAACAGCGACGCAGCCGAGGGTTTACTTGAAATCATTTGATTTTCTTCGCTTGCGTTTCGACCACCTCGGAGATAAAATCCCTGGAGCTGTAGGATGTTCTGTTTGAGTAGATGACTCGATAGTGTCTGTTGGAGGTATTGGCGGAACTTGATAAGTATCCAACAGCAAACAGAGTGGGAGGCGCTTCGTAATTTTACCTTTCTCTTTATCTCCCCCTGGCCTTAGTTGATCACGAGGTCTTTTGGTATTCGAAAGGCTTTTCATGATATCCTTATCATTCACTAGCTTCACTTCGACGCTTGAAGATTTACAAGAAAGAATGGAGTCACGTGAATATCTTTGTCTGTTTATTGTATCATGTTTTTCTCCATCACCCCAGTCTGCTTTATCTTGGGACTTGACATGCATGGTGACGTCACACAAGTTATCTGAGATCACATTTTCTTCAGGCGTGGCAACTGGCTGCAGTCCGATACCAGGCTGAAGCGTTTTAGTGAGTCGTTTTTGAAAATCTGCAGCATGCTGTTGTGTAACGGCAGGAGTTTTTACTTGATTGCAGACAGTATTGATGGGAAGATCAGCGAGACCAAGTTTTTCGAACCAATCTAACCCCAGGAGGTTGTGAGGAGACTTGCTGATATAGCATGTTCCATTGAAGGTTGTATCTGTGAACGAAACACAGCAATCAAGTTTACCACGAAGACGAAGGTGACCCCCACAGGCACTGACAACTATCTGCGATGATGGTTTGATGCGTGGTTGACCCAAGGTTCGCCAAGTCTCTTCTGACAGAATAGTGATATCTGATGCAGTCCAACTGCATTCGAACCAGCTGACCATTGATCGAGAGGGTCAGAAATTTGCGTCGAGTAGAAGCATCGGTGTGAAAGGCTGCTGCTAAACTCCTAGATGCAGATAACGGCTTTCTGGGATAACGGCGCTGCGACTGTGAATTTCGCCGGCCAGTGAATCGGGTTGATTGGCAAAAACCGCTTTTATGACCAATTTTCTGACAGCGATTGCACACATGCTGCTTGAATGGACAAAATTTCACATAATGCCAGTCTCCACAGTGCCAACATGGTGAGGGGGGCTTCTTATGCGTTGATTTTGAGTGATTAGAAACAGAACTGGCATTCGAACGACCAAAGGTTTTCGATCTAGAAGATTTGTTCTGCTGCTGAACAACGTGAACTTCGTAACCACCCTGGCTCCCAGATTGAACCAAAGTGGTGTCACACTGTAAGTTGGTGATGCGTTGGTACTCATCAGCGATAGCATCGAGTGTCAGTGTTGGGTCTTGTTCGAGGCGGTTAAGCAATCGAGTTCTGATGTCGGAGAATTTGGGTGATTGTAGACTGCATATGAATATGAGGGATTTGAATTGGTCATCAGTAAGGGATCTGTGTTTGAACCGTTCACACTCGCGGTTGACAATACCAACATGAGTCAAGAAGTCATCGGACTCATTCATGACTAGTTTTAAACAACGATAACGTGTATTGAAAATAGAATGCTGATCCCCAAAAAGTTTGCTGAGGGACTGAACCGTAGCATCGAATGATCTGTCACGTGGGTTCTGCGGTAGGATGTAGTTGCGATACTTGTCAAGTTCTGACGGACCAAGTTTTCGAAGGAGAAGACGCACCTTCCAGGAATCATCTTTGTCAGCAAAATCAACTTTGAAAAGATCTTCATAACGCATGAACCAAGTATCAAATGTAATATTGGCGTCAGGATCATACAGAAACTCAGAAATACTACTGGTCATACCATCAACTGACTGAGGAATTGTTGGTGTAGATGAGACTTGAGAAGAGATGTGCGTCTGAGTAAGCATCTCCATCAGCTTCAGCTGCTGTGCAAACAATTTTTCTAATGTAGCTGGATCCATATTTAGTCACCAACCCGTCGCCAAATTTGTTGTAAACGCGGCTACGTAAATCTTCAGTCCTAACGGCGTCCAATTCAAATATCACAAAACGACCCAAAGGCTTTCCCAAATCTCCTAGAAATCAGAACGTAACACCGTGGCAGGAAGATGTTTATTGGGTCGTAAACAGAAGTAGGCAGGGGAAACGGAATTATTCAGTCTTCCAGATAGCGCGTATTTATACACTAAGGTCGAATAAGAAAAAGCATCAACGTCCGTGACATTGACAATTTAGGACGACCAATGGAAAAGAATATTTGAATGACATTGACCGTCCAGATGACCAATAAGAGGTAACATTGAAGTATTTGACCCTGACGGTAAGAACGATCAAAATTTCGGCCAATAGAATTCGACCAATAGGATTGCAGTTCTAAAAATAGTATTCTTAGGATATTTGGTGAATATCCTAACAGATACTATCCTGTCAGATATCTCAGGGGTTGCAGCTTATCTCGATGATATCTTGATTGTTGCGAAGACGTTAGAACAGCTACGGGAACGCACGACATTGGTACTACAACGCATCAGTGACAATGGTTTCCGGTTATGCCCAGAAAAATGCCAGTTTCTATTGCAGTCGGTAAAGTATTTGGGATTCATCTTTGATGCCGACGGTCGCAGACCGGATCCTGAAAACATCCGAGCTATCAAACTGATGCCCACTCCCACTAATGTTTCCGAATTACGATCTTTTCTCGGTTTGATCAGTTATTATTCAGCTTTTGTTCCCTCGATGCATGATATTCGCGCTCCATTGAATTGTCTACTGCAGAAGCATAGCACATGGAACTGGACTAAAGAGTGTGACGCGGCTTTTGGTAAACTCAAGTCTATAATTAGCTCGGAATTGTTATTAACACACTACGATCCATCCATGCCGATCATCGTAGCAGCAGACGCTTCAGCATAAGGCCTAGGTGCTGTTATTTCACATCAATTTCCAGACGCGTCGGAAAAAGCCGTTATGCATGCATCCCGTACACTGACCCCAGCAGAAAAGAAGTATAGCCAGATAGAGAAAGAAGCTCTTGCCCTTGTGTTTGCTGTTCGCCGTTTCCATAAGTTTCTGTACGGTCGGAGATTCACGCTCCTCACAGATCACAAGCCTCTGTTAGCAATATTTGGTTCAAAGTCCGGCATTCCAGCCCATTCTGCAAATCGTCTTCAGCGATGGGCCTTGGTACTTTTGGGGTATGATTTCGAAATCCAATATCGACGTACTCTACAATTCGGTCAAGCAGACGCTTTGTCACGACTCATTAATGATCAAGTGGCGGCTGAGGAAAACATGGTGATCGCATCCCTGTCAGTAGAAGACCACGCGGAATGTGATCTGACAACCGCAGTTCGCGCATTACCGGTGTCTGCAACAGACATACAAAATGCTTCTGGAAACGACCCCATCATCAAGATGACGATGAAATATGTCACTAACGGTTGGCAGTTGAAAAAGTTTGAAGGTGACATGAAGCAACTGTATCAGCGGCGAGAGTCACTATGCATCGTGAACGATTGTCTCATGTTTGGTGAAAGAGTAGTGGTGCCAGAATCCCTTCGTGCAAAAGTGCTGAGACAGTTCCATCTTGGTCATCCTGGGATTAAACGAATGAAGTCCATAGCCAGGAGTTATGCATACTGGCCTCACATGGATCAACATGTCACAGCGTTGGTTGAAAAATGCATCCGGTGTCAGCAGGCGGCAAAGATGAATGCCAAAATTCCGCCGGTTTCATGGCCCAAACCTGAGCATCCTTGGTCCAGGATACATGTCGACTTCGCTGGCCCAATAAATGGAACTATGTATTTAATTGTCGTCGACGCCTTTTCTAAATGGCCGGAAATCAGCCCCGTTATGCCGCCCACTACAACTAAGACTATACAGCTCCTAACTGAAATTTTCTCACGAAATGGCATACCAGATGTGATCGTATCCGACAATGGCTCTCAATTCACCTCTTCCCAATTCCAGAATTTCTGTCAACGGCTAGCTATTAAACACTTACGCTCGCCACCATACCACCCGCAATCGAATGGGCAGGCGGAAAGGTTTGTGGATACGTTTAAAAGAGCACTGCTCAAGTCAAAAGGGGAGGGGACGCCAGCCGAAACGTTACAAAATTTCTTGTACGTCTATCGGACAACACCAAATGAATTGTTACCGGAGCAAAAGTCCCCAGCTGAAATCCTGATGGGAAGAAGATTGAAAACGATTCACAGCCTGATGCATCCGACCAATGCACCCTCATCAGTAGAGACAAAGCAGCAAAGACAATCCGCTTACGAGGTGGGATGCCCTGTGTTTGCCCGCGACTACAGAACGAACCATGGTCCTTGGGTAGAAGCGAGAGTGGTCAGAAGGGTTGGTCGAGTTATGTACGAAGTAGAGGTAGGAGGTGATAAATGGTCACGTCATCGCAATCAGATACGCAGACGGCTAGCCCCAGATCGCCCATCAAGAGCAGAAAGCCTTCCCCTTGACATCTTGCTTGATACCTTCAACCTACCGAGAGCCCCGCCACGAGAAGAAACTCAGCAGCAAGTTGTTCTTCGTTCCCGAAGGTATCCCCTCAGACAGCGGCGAACAATAGTCAAGATGCAAGTCGACCCCAGGAGAACAAGCTATTAAAAAGGGGAGGAGTGTTGGGGATGTTAGATCCCCAAAATTCGCTTGATAATGCCGTATTTTGGTTTTCACGTTTCGCCAGCACGGGCTGATCAGATGACCTTGAGATTTCAATTCCCACCAGCAAAATCAATGGCTGTGATTGGCTGCAGTGTATTTTAGTATGCTATTTTCTTAACTGTCTCAAGGACGTTGTTATGTTGTATAAATAAACGAGAGTTGTATGCTTGATTGTACTGGGTTGCTGGGTGTTTGTAGAATATACTTTCTACGCTTACCAAGACTTCTGTTTTACCGTTTGGATTCAAGGTAGCCTCCCTGGAAGCTGGTAAAAGTCTCGTTCGCGTTTATCGACTAAGGTAAACTCGTAATAGCCTCAAGCATACTAAGTGACGAACTTATCAATTTCTGCCATGTTTCGGTTTTGCCACCCCAAGCTTTCTTCCAACTCCAATATTTAGTCTCTACAGCCAAGCCAGGTCTGAAGCCACCAAGATTTTCTCCAGTCTGCTTTTCGCGAGCTCTAGTTAGGTGTCAAAGTATTATCGAGGATAATAATTCAGAAACTATATTAGTCAGACTGATTCCTCTGAGATTGTCACAAGGGGACTTTTATCAATTTTGATAGACTGGGACAATCAGTGATTGGGGCCAGCCAAGTGTGATTACGTCCAGTTCCCACATTCTACCTACGATCTCAGTCAATCTAACTGCAAAAACTGGGCCACCATCCTTAAAAATCTCATGGGTTAACCTATCAAGGCCCGCTGCTCTCCTTCACTTCAGATTTCCTACAGCCTTTTATAGATAACACACAATATAATGTGGGATATTATCTGTCAAAAGCTGAACATATTCCAAATGTGTCAAGTAGAAGGTACCGTTCCTTATCCATCTATTTACAATATGCTATTAAACTGATTAATTTTCAGATCATGACTGTCATTCACAATAATACGCGAAAATGTGCAAAGTTCGATTTGAATTCAGTGAACTGTTACTGAACAAAAGGACCAAGCATATTCTAAGGGAACAGTGAGATAAATAAACAAAAGGTGTGATACAAAGAGCACAGGATTTAAATTGGTACATTTCTATGACAGATAAAATCCGAGAGTAGACTAACCTACTTATTTCGTAAACAAATAATAGAAGGAAAATTATGCTAATAATTTCATTACCGTGGAGTACTGTTCGTATTAGTTGGACTTGATTTCAAATAATTTGAAGCCTTCATCAAAGTAGGACGTCGACTATAGTTAGATGGAATAGGATTCGATGATAGACTGTTTGTTTCAAATGTTTCAGCGGAATTAGATAAAGTTTGCTTGTTAGCATCGTTATCAACCAACTGATTACTAACATTGAACTTATCAATTATGTTTCTTCTATGGTATAAATTTCGTAAGCAAATATGACTAGTATTTTGTGAAGGATTTACAAGATAAGATTTGTGATCTTCATACGTTGATTTAACCTATAAGATTTCCAGAAAAGCGAAATACGAAATGACTAACATTAACATAATTTAATTGTATTGAAAATTCTACGTAATCCCGAAGAACATGTGGAAATATTTGGATTTATCTAAGTTAAAGATAAAACCCAGACAAATTATCTATAAGAGAAATGTATTTATCGAAGATAAATTTTTCAAATCACTCACAATAAAATTATTTCGAAAATTTTATTACCCATTGAAGAAAACTGTTCACTGAATTTACTCAAAAGACGTAAAAAGACAGCATATAGGATTGAATACAAAGTGAATTTCTTTTATCTGGATAACCAAGGAGGTCTGTGAAATGATGGACATGGTTTAGATGTCCCAGTCAGGTATTAATATCCGGAGAGTGAGTGACCTACAAACGTGGTGCCTTCCAATGGCTTGCGACAACTAACCACGTTTATATTCACATTGATAGTTTTTATATAAGCTTCTTAAAAAATTCACTGGACTCAAAATTATGAACACAAATGTTGAACCAAGGTGAAAAGGTATGTAACTAATTCTTATTCTATCAAAAGATTAGATAAACACTAGTTTTATACATCGTATGGTAGATCTTCCTAGACGAGTTGTAACTAAAAGGTCAGTTGTGACTAAAAACCTCATCTTAAGGCGAAGGCTGTGGAAAACGACATAGCTACTGCGAAAACTGAATCTGTTATGGTTGCTGGGATATGTCCTTGTTTGCATGAAGTGCCAACAGTAGGACAAACACCATAGAAACATATAACTTCTCGACTATTAATCTGTGAAGATATAATTAAAGCTATTAGAAAAGCTTCGTAAACAAATTTGTAAAACCTATATCACCAACACAAAGGGGATAAAAGTATGAGTAGACTTAGCAGCTCACACAGAATGAGGTAATCTCAATCCGGAAAGCTGTTTTGCTTTTTTGTGACGCAGAAAATGTACAATGTAAAGCATGAAAGGGTGTTCTTCATTTCAGAGACAGTGGCTTCAACGTGGCCTGTTTGATATACCAATAAACAAAAACAGTGAAAGACATTTGTTTAAAAAGGTAATTAATTACATTGTAGAAGTATCTGTGTTACTGCACACCCACAGAATAGAGCCTAAATTTTGGACGAACTAATAATTCAGACAACATATGACTGTTCTGTCATTTTCATCGAATGATGATTCTCTTCACAGGGAATTGTGACCTTCAGTACATATAGCTAGTAAATATATGGTCTTTTAATTCTTCACTTCACGTCTCGTGTGTATCTGTGAATTAATTATTTTATCTATTGTCTGTCTTCTTGTCGCTCTATACATCATCTACTTTTAGTTGGATTGAGGATTTTAATCAGTATTATTTCATTTAAACACGTTAGCTATCTCTGAATCTACTCTCATTCCTTTTTCTACGTGCTGAAATGAATATATGAAATATAAACACCAGAAACACTTGTACCCAAAGTTTTATATCCCCGTTGATACTGAAGGGATTTGTTGACAGAAGATATACGATGTAAGTATGATCTATATTTCGTCTACATTATTAAGGATTCGATCATATCAGTTAAATAACGGACATCTAAAGAGCAACGAATATGAATAGATATTTCTGGACTCCATTACTTTTAGTCAGTAACATGTTTGGATGTGATAAATTAGCAAATCGCAAGCTGAAAAAATTATCTGTTTACAGTAAAAACAAGTTATTTTTAGTCATTTAAATGTTAGTAGCTTTGAAAACCATTATACTTAATCATAAGGCTAACGAATGAAATAGGTTCTGCATAACTGTTTAACTATTCATGAGGTCATGAAGTTTATCTATCAATCAGACATGAAGGGCTTGTGTAACGGTTTTTTACTAGTCATCACTAAAACACTCAAACACAAAGTCAACTAGCATCGAGACACAGCCAGACTGGACCATATGACACATGTTGTCCACTTACATTTTTTTTATTATTGTTTGAATCACATTTTAATACTTCTTTGTTTTGAGATCGCTCAGAAGCGTCACTAGTTTTTGAAAAGGTGGTATTTGCAGAGACAACTTTTGAGCGACTTTGTTTTCTAGCATGCTTAAACTGAATGGTTGATCGTGGCTTCGATAAACTCATTTTCGTATCAGTATGTGTTGACATATGCGGTCGTTTTACTAGCTGGAAACGTAATGTCATGAGGTGATTGCAAGCACTGGAATCCGAATTCGTTTGTTGTTGATCTCTAAGAGAAACATACATGGCTTTGCGTAATTCCTGTTCTTCTTTCCAAGAGATTCCTAAGATATTGTCCTAAAAATTGCACAAAGTTAAATGAGACTCTAAAATAACGGTTTCAATAAACAAGGTTATTAAACTTCTAAATGTAATTCTCCTTAAGGTCCACTCTCTGATAGAGGATCAAAAAAGCTGAGAACATTACAGTCAAGCGAAATCCTGTAGTTATTTATAGATTTAGGGACATCTCAAAAGACAGTTTTAAGACGGAGATATCTTACTGTTAATGGATAAAACCATTTTTACAAAAGGATCATCAGTGACTTATATTTTGAGCCATGTCTGATAACTCTGCAGGCCTCTGAATTGGATGACAAGAAGGCATACACTTAAAAAGTTGGGATAAGCTGGAAAATATTTACCTGTCAAGAATGGTAAGACCTAAAATAACTACCTCTTCTCCTTTAATAAACACCAATTCTAAAAGATAATTGAGGATTAAATTTCCAAGAACATTTGAGTGGAATGACTCTAAGCTACATCAGCCAGTGTCTAAAAATAATAACGCTTGTTAAATCACTGTCTAGACTATTCTCAACCACAGGATATTGAACTGAAAAGTTTTTCATCGGTATTAGTACCAAATGGGACCGATTCTTTGAAGAAGACGAAAAGACAGACATGTAGCGCCTGTGAAACTGAAGTACACTGCGTTCAACTATTGAAGCAAAACCAAGTTACAACGGTGTACACGAATAAAAGTGGAGGTCAATCAATCATCAACAAACGGCCGAGTTACCAACTCCCGGTCAGTCAGCTACAACGTACAACTTCGAATGTACGTAGATCAGTTCAAGTTGCCGAACCACATCAGCACACAGAGGCAAATGTCAATTAAAATCCCATAGTGGTAGATGCAGTACAGCGTAAGCAGTATTCGAAAACATTGGAGATCAAAGATATTATTCGAAAAGTATATCCCAATGAAATACATTTAAAAACAGAAAAAGAAAAACCCAGATTATAATTTGAGAGAAGAAAATTAATGGATGCACCTGCGTCATTGCTGACGATTTTGAACCATGTCATTCAAGGTCTCTGACCATCGGTTATTATCATCTCGTGGACCCCAAACAGGTAGTCTAAACCTATCAGTATGGTTCAATCCACTTGCAAATGACTTCATGGATTTGTGCCACGTTTCGGTTTGGCCACCACTAGCTTTCTTCCAGCTTATCTCTACACCACGAAAATAGCTCTTCAAGGCAGTCGGTGGTTGAGCACTTGGAACACACGTTTCAATACTTCATTAATTCATTGATCTTCCATCTTTACCTGGTACTCGTTTCCTGTTGGGATATTCATAAAAAACTCCAAAAATTATTCTGTTAAGCCTAATTCTATCATTAAACGTAAAATCGTATTTTTTCACACTTGTCACATGTTTTCAGCCTGTTCACATATTTCACATCTCGTTTCCTATCGGTCAATATTTACGGTCGGCCGAACTGTATAAATATGCATTGTTTGTAAAACTCTAGGCTGTTTTCGGACAATATAAACAATTTTCATCTAACGGTTTTGTGTTTTGACATATTGGGGATTTCGGAAAAAGAATTCGCGGTTGTAATAGAATATCTGAGGTTGGCCAATCGATAGAATTTAGAGAAGCCACATCAACGGACCACAATGCTTCTCAACACCAGCATTTCTTAATTGATGGTGTCAGGATATACAAGCAATCCTTCGAAGGAATTCGTGATCAAATACTGGTAACCTACGAATATCCTTTATTCTTAGTGACCACGTTTCACACCCATATAGTAGGACGGAATGAACTGCTGCGAGGAAGACTCGTCCTTTGGTTAGACAGACAGATACAACGCAGAAACTTCGTACGTTGATGCACCGCTCATCTGGATAGTAACATACTTTCTCCGAACGTCATAGTCTGTTTGAAAAGTAGCTACCAGAGAAAGTGATTTAGACTCGGCTAATTTCACCACATTTCTAGTACGTTTATGCTTCTTCCTGGGATGAGACGTACGATTTGGTTGACAATGGCCTTCTTTATGTCCACGTTTGTTGCACATCTGACATTTATGTTCTTTAAATGGACAGAATCGTACGTAGTGCCAGTCACCACATAACCAACATGCCGTCGTTGGTTTTTTACAAGATGTTTTCGGCTTCTGGACTTTTAACCTAGTAATTGCATTGAAAGTACTGCTGGTTAAATTAGTATTTACCTGTTCGATCAACATGTTGTCGTGTCTGATACTTTGTAGTCGTTTACACTCATCTGTCAATGTTCTGAGTGTGACGTTCGGGTCTTGATCCAGTCGGGTTAGAAGTCTGGTTCTGATCTCAGCGTCTTGCGGTGACTGAAGAGCTTTGATGAATATTAAGCATTTAAAATGGTCTTCTGTCTACGAGCGTAACTTGAACCGTTCACATTCTCTGTTGACGATGTCTGCAAAGACCGCATATTCATCATCTTCGTGTTTCACCAGATTTCTCTGACAGCTGAATTACCGTGTCCTCGAAACTGAGCTCTCGAGGTAACTTTGGTAATATGTGATTAGTATAACGTGCATATTCATTAATTCCCAACTTACGCACCAACAAGCGAGTCTTCCAAGCATCGTCTTGTTTACCGAATTCAATTCTAAATGTATCTTCCCAACGCTTGAACCACGTCAGAAAAGTATTTCCATATTCAGGATTATAGATGAATCCTGGTATGCTGTTTGCCACTGCTTCGCAAGCCGTATTTAGAATAGCATATGGACTCGAACGCTGGGTGTTCAGCTGTTGAGTTAGAGTCTCCAACAACCACGTTTGTGCATCTAATTGTGCTTGCTGTTGTTGTAGTATTCAGTTAGGCTGATCATCTGAAATAGGCATCTTGAATTTTTTTTCCTTTTTATCCGTTGCCACAGTTGTAACGCTTGCTTCAACAATTCCAAGCTAATCCTATTGCTTAGTATTCTCTGACCACAATACACTGGACAAGTTCCAAAGAGTCAAAACACGGCGGAACAGGAAAAGATTATATTCCAAATAGCAAGGTAAATGGAAATACGAAGCCGAAGGCGAAGGCCAAATAGATACATCGTTAGATTCTTCATCGTATTTTCATGAGAAGCTTCCGGATAGTAATTCACGTGACCGACTGGATTAGATTTAGCCAATCAGCATGCAGCTAACAACACGATAATTTTCTACCCTGTTCTTCAAGAATCGATCAGGCGCTGATTGGATAGGAAATTAGCCAATCAGCGCGCAGCAACGTAGTCATGCTTTAATTCCATCTGTCACACTAACACTTAAGACTTATGGTTTACCTTGCTAGCAGATATCACTGCTGTTTTCACAGCCTTTTTGATATCATTCCAAGTTCCCTCCGGATGGGGATCACATAGATGGTCGCCCAACTGTTTTTCCAGTTGTTCCTGAATTATATTTATAGCTCCTCTATCATTAGATAGAAGCATAAAAGGTTTCCTTGCGGTGTCTTTGCTACGTTCAGCAACTCGAAAACAAATACGTGCTCGCACTAGAGCATGATCTGAATCTAAACATATACCCCAGATGAGCGACAGTCCTCTATCGAACTCCTCCATCAGTGGCTGATGGCAATGTGATCCAGTTGGATCCAACCTTGGGACGATTTTGGGGGTCGCCAGGTCAAAAGATGTTTTTCCTTATGCTTAAAGTTAGTGTTTGCTAGAAATAGTTGGTTATCCGAGCATAGTTGCAACAGACGGTCGCCATTGTCTGTTCTGTGAGCCACGACAACAAAAGATCCATTCAGGTGTCCTTCCTTTTCACCAGTGGAAATCCTGCTTTTAACCTATCAGTGCAATAGAAACGGACTTTTTAACCGAAAGAATCCTTTCTGATTTTATTTTTACTAACTGAACCACTTTGCCCACTATTGTTCAACCAGTCGATTGCACCGTAAAACTTGGTACATGAGTACAATAGCTGTCATGCTCCAATTAGCATATAGAAATCAAATTGTCCGGCCAAATCCCAGAGTATTGGAGGTAGGAACAGTATAAGTAATGTGAAAGATTTAGGATTAAGGATAAGATTCAAGAAAATATAAATCAGTAAAGACAGAAAAAAATTGTGATGAATCCAGAAGCTTAGAATTCTAGGGAAGACAAAAAATAGATCCACTCGCATGATTGCAAAATATTTTGAGCCATGTCATTACTGGTTAAGATTATTACACGGACCCCAACCAGTTAGTCTGTACCTACTAACATGGTTCAGTCTAATTTTCGATGACTTCAGACTGGTGCCATGTACTTAGTTTAGCCGCCCCTTGCTTTCTTCCAACTTACTCCAAAACTAGACAACACTGCCTGCCAAGGCAGGAGTTGTTTGGGCATACGTAGCTCATGTCCCAACTACCTCAGCTAGTGAATTATTATCACTATCATTTTACACTCGAGCTAATTTCTACGCACTTTTCTTATTGTACTGTTTTTTAATCTTTTCACAACCTCGTTTTTATGGAAAGGCGCTTACATATTTTAGTGCCCCTGCATACCATTTAGTACCACGGAGTACTTGTGTATGTCTACACTCATTGTTTTATCAAATAACTGTCTCTTTGTCTCTACGCGTTATCAACCTTTGCGAATGCTTGTAATGATTTGTGTAGCGTCACTTCTCCATTCCTCTTGGTTTCCCTGATTCTCATTTTTAATACCATTTTTAATACATGAAATAAACTCATCCCACTTCATCTGTATGTGGTTTATCATTCACCGCCGTTGCTCAAACGGGGTTAGCCTAGGTATAATATACGAAATTGAACGGAAGATTTATTTTCATAACATTTAACCGTTCGTCAAAATTGGAGTCAAATAACGGATGACTAAACTCTCTTGTACCACTCTTTATATGTTGAAATAAATAAATAAATAACGATTTCATAGACTAATCCCACGTATTCGTTTAGCTTCTACAAACTTTTTTAGATCTCCTTTTACGCAACTGGACTTCGCTCGTCTAGGTAATTGGTGGTTAGACGAATTCAATATGTTCGAAAAAAATTAGTCGATAAGGATTTACAATCCCATCAAAAGATCTGCCCCCTTTTCTTACATTCAACATTTCTTACTTGGTAGTTACAGAAAGTCATGCAATGTCTCGAGTAGACCTGCAGCACACACATGTCTGCTACTTTTAAATTCTATGCTAGAGTGATAATGCAATACATAGATGACTGCTGCATAATACGCTCGTTTTTTGGTACTGAGATGTGGACCTTGAAAAAGGACGACCAGATTTTCTGAATCCGTGCTGAGACCCTCTTATACACCAACTTAATAGGGCTGATGAAACTTCAGAGTGATGTGATCAAGAAACTTAACTACTTTAGAAGATGGTGAAGTATTTTGCATTTTGAGTGACGAAAACGCATCTAAAACATGCTTGCATCATTGCTCAGACGATTAGAAGTCCCGACGACTTTCCAGAACCTTTACTCTCTTATAGCGTTTTGAGCTCATTACTCAAGAACTAAGTAAAATGATTATCTCAGTCGATACACAACCAGCTAACATTGTGTCTTTATGACCTGAATATTTCATTACTTCTGGATCCTGATAACGATAAGCCATGGTTCTAAAACAGGCTACTTTATTATCATAACTGTATCGGCCGTGATGAACGATTGTACAAAAACAGTTAACCGACTGCTCGTACATCTTCGCTAAAATAGGATATATGAGACAAGCTCAACTATCATTTAAATTAAGAACGTATTTCTGGAGAACATGAAAGCATCAAAAAAGGATTGATGAATGGCTGCATAATTGAGTGATAAAAGATCTGTCAAACGAAATTCACCCCGATCGTAGCTGCTACCTTGTCGTGGTAGTCGGGCTTGCCTCTCGTGATGATCCAACCAAGCTATATTGGCTGGAAAAAATGTTCCTGAAGGTTCTACCATACCAGCCAGGTCGATTGGAGAACGATGGGACTAGAAGAAGCAACTCAAGGGCTGAGGGCGAAGACGTACTGCTGACTGTAGAGAGGTATGACAGCAGTTAAGTGTTTCCATCGGACAACCAGCATCTGCAGCGATGCTGCCTTCTCACAAGGAAGGAAGGGATTAGAAAATGTCGACCCTAAAAATGTCGCACCTCACCTTGCCTCACGGATTTCCGTCTCCGGTAGTAAGGCCACTTGAAGAAAGTAGCCAACAGGTTAAAAACATCCCATAAAGGCCGTGCGTGACCGGCCTGAAACAGTTGTCCCTTGGACTGTGCGGTCAAGCTTCCAGGTCTCTAAGACCGACGCCAATCTAACCCCCTTTTCGGGTCGCTCAAGAAGCACCCATCCACGGTGTGGGCAGCCGAGAAGTGACATCCGCCCTCTTAACCGCAATAGCACGCGAGACCAAATCAGTCACAATCAAATCCTTTCTAAACCCCCTAATAACTCTCTTATCTCCACGACCAACCCTTCTTTCGTTCTTTTGTCAGCTCGCTATGCTGATGAAAACGTTTTCCGCTCGCAGAACATTATTCCTGGTCTCCTGAAATCCCACTCTAAACTACATATTGGAGCTTTTAATGTTCGAACCTTGTATCAAATAGGGCAACAGGTTTCAATAGCAGGACTCTGAAATCCTGTGATGCGTCTTCGAAATGCGCATACGGGATCCTAGTGAAATCGTTAATTTGATTACGCTTTTTCCAAAAAGAGAATAAACTCAGTTTACGCTTCGTGTATCTGAAAGCCCTGCTGCTGCCTCTCGTGTCCTCGCTGGTGTAGGCATAGGTGTGTCCGAAGCATTACCCGTTTGTCTTGGGACAACAAATTAAGCAATGCTGTTGTTAAGAGACGGGTCCTACGTAAGGATAGCAGATCAATCAATTAATGAACTGTTGAAACTTTATCATTCGAAGGTAGTTGGGACATGTGTTACTAATGCTCAACCACCGACTGCCTCGAAGAGCTATGTTTTGTGGTGTAGGGATAGGCTAGAAGAAAGCTAGGGGTGACAAAACTAAAACATGGCAGAAATCCACGAAGTCACTGACAAGTGGAGTGAGTCATGTTGTTAGATGCAGACTACCTGGTTGGGGTCTGCAAGAAGAAAGTAACTGATGGTTAGAGACTTTGAACGACATGGCTCAGAATCGTTTGCAATGGCGCAGGTGCATTCATTCATTATGTTCCCTCAAATTCTAATCTTCTAACTTCTTCATCACGTCTCTCTTTCACTTTCCAAATATATTTCATTGCACTATACTTCTTGAATAATACCTTCGAACCTTAATCGTCTCCATTACTGCTAATACTTCTGCCATCTCTACCACTATGGTGTACGACGTTCTACGTTGTAACTGACTGGGTGAAACGGAATTGAAGGAAATATCCAACCCAGAGCTCCTTGTGGCATCATGGGGATTGTGAAGATCTGCATTATAAACCAATTTGGTTGGTTAATGGAAATTGGATGAATCCACTTTACTATCGTAAAAAGCTGGACTAAAATGCATTGACTTATGCTGGACACATGTTTACACGTTCGCCTATATATATTCTTGGAATGCACAGATTGATTCAATCTGTGTACTGTAACTGTACGTGTACTGCACACTTGAATTAAGAACATTAATGACCGAATAAACAGCATCTATGGTTTTATATGCTTGACCAACCTTGATTGGTTGAATGGGCATCAAACGGAATAGGTTACAAATACAAAGCCAAGCTAATTAGCGAATCACTGTTACACGTAACTCTTAGTCATACTATTTTTGACTTACGTCACTGATTTTTGATAACGCCCTTTTAGGTCGATGTGGTCGTTGTTCAAACTGTTGTTCATTACGAGTCATCTGAAATTGTGAGAAATGATGACAGAAAATAAAACTTGTAGATTTTCGGAAACATATTGATCACTACTATACGATCTCTGTATAGTATTAACATTTAATAAATTGGGTTTAAAACAGTCATTTTATTACAAAGCTCAAACTATAAAAAAAGTACATCATGAAACTTCAAGACTTTATGTAGGAACTCATTCGGAACAACCACATAATGAAACAACTCAAATGAACATGGTTTTACAAAATTATTATCCGTTCATTTGAAAATAACTAGTAGGCATTTCCGATCTTGAATAGTACTCCTTTAGTAAGAGTTGACCGTATTTTCATGCTCCCCAGATCGGACTGGAATCAAGTCCAAAACAAAAATCCTAAGAATATTATAATAATTAGTAGGTAGGGTTATCAACTATAATGCTGATGAAATTTACAATGCTTTCATTAGCCTCGTTAGTGTTGACTATTACATCCAAGAGTTACTTCCAGCAGTATAAGGTTTTACAACAGACTGATAATTCTGGACAAAGATATTACGCCGTAATACGGTTTGAAAAAGACTGAACATAATATAAATGAAAATATCAGCAACTCATTACGAATAAATGATTATATATAACGCTCATTCAAACGGTATGAGTTGCATAAGAGCGTGTAAATCTGCCCTTAGTTAATGGGCTATATTAGAAAACAATGATTATTACTTTCCTTTGAAATTATGTTCCCTTTGTAAATACGTGGATAAAAAATTGTTTTTATCGTTCTTACTACAAGCATCCTAGATAAATTTCAAACATACATGGAAAATACAACACAAACTCTTAATGAAGCGTTTTATTTTAATGGTACAAAGTATGAGTGTAAAAATATAACCCCATACGTACAGCAAAGCAAAAGCACGCATTTTAAAAATAACTGGGTTCGCAGTTGCTTCTGAGACAGTGTTACTCAGAGTGAAGTTAGGTATGCTACATTTTTCGAGACATCTCCAGATTTGCCAATCCAAAGGAAGTTGAAATCCATGAAAAGGGGTATCCTTAGATACGTGAAAGTTACCCGATTTGATTAGTAGAATTAGATGTTACCAGGTCCTTTAATTTGTCCTGATCATTTACACTAAGTTGATTCCACCCTTTGAACCATGGATGAAAATCAACATATGCTGACATAGTTGGTAGAGATGCTCTATTGCGATCCAAATTCTGAAAAGCCCAGAAATTTGAAGGTGAATGAAGAAACTTTAACCCGTTTCCTATTTTTTTGATTAGTAACTACAGAAACTAAGTAACAGAAAAATATACGGGGTCCCTACGATCATATGAAAATAAATATTAGCATTCGTTTATAACAGTCACTCATTACTACACGGTCCTTTAGTCTTACAAGAGCAAGGCTAAAAATAAACGTAGAAATGGGAAAAATAACACTAGAAGTAAGTGGTGGGAGATGACAAATAAAAGAGTGAACTAATAGCAAGTAATCTACTCATGCTTAAACATTATTAATAGAAGACAATATTTTAAACAGATTATTAAAATAATAAAAATTTTGTCAGAGAAAATGTGAGTTTAGAAATTTAGTAATCGACGTGATAAATTTAATTCCAAAACATTACATTAGTAGGATATTTTCATACGGTTTAGGTGATAATTTCAAATGGCTTGTTTTAAGACAAGGAGTATGAAGCGCAACAAGGACTGCTAATAAATTCCGTACTGGGGAATATAAAGATTACCAAATAACTTATGTATATGCTTCATAAGATCCAGAACCCAAAAGACGAATGGTTTGTTTGTGTATATTCCCGACCGGAGTTGCTACCTAGTCGTGGTGATCCGGCTTGCCTATCATGATGATCCAACCGAGCTACATTGGCTGCAGCGTATGTTCCTGAAGGTTCTACCATGCCAGCCAGGTTGATTAGAGAATGATGAGATTAAAAGCAGCTACTCAAGGTCTGAGGGCGAAGTGGTACTGCTTACTCTAGAGAAGTGTGACAGCAGTAAGTTGTTTCCCTCGGACAACCAGCATCTGCAGCGATGCTGCCTTCTCACAAGGAAGGACGGGTTAGAAAAGGTCGATCCTAAAACTCTCACGCCTCACCCTACCTCACGGATTTCCGTCACCGTCGGTAAGGGTGCTCACTAAGGGCTTTTAAGAGCGGAGCTAACACTCAAAAATCCTTTCATAAATAGGCCCTGCGTGACCGGCCTCAAGCAGTTGTCCTTTGGGCTCTGCGACACACTTTCATGTCTCTAAGACCAGCAGTAATGTACCTTCTTTTTCAGGACCCTCAAGAAACAACCTTCCACGGTGTGGGCAGCCGGGAAGTAACAACCGCCCTCTTAACCGTAACAGCACGCGAGACCATATCAGTTGCAATCGAACTGTTTCTAAACCTCCTAATATCTCTCTTCTCTCCACAACTAACTCTTCTCACATTCCTTTACCACACTGCGCCGCTAATGCAAACGATTCGAGTTCCCGAAACGTAATTCCTGGTCTCCTGGAACTCCGTTCTAAATTGCACGTTGGAGCATTTAATGTACGGTCATTGTTTCAAATAGGGCAATAGGCTTCCTTAACTAGGACATTAGAATCTCGCTCAATCGATGTATGCTGCGTCTCGGAAACGCGCATACAGGATCCTTGTAAAATCATTAATTTGATTTCACCCTATCAGAACAAAGAAGCAGCCCGATTTACTCTTCGTGTATCCGGTAGCCGTGATGCTACTACCCGGGGTCTCGCTGGTGTAGGTATAGTATTGAGTCGTAGAGCAGAACTAGCGCTCCTAGACTGGATCCCAGTAGATAGTCGCTTGTGCGCTGTCTGACTGAACGGGACAGTAAAGATTCGGAAAGATATAGACGATCGCCGTCACCTCTTCGTCATATCTGCCTATGCCCCCACTGACTGTAGTTCAGACGAGGTGAAAGAAAAGTTCTACAGAAAGCTTTCGGACTTACTCCAAAAAGTTAAGCGCCATGATGTAGTAATAATGGCTGGTGACTTCAATGCTCAAGTAGATAGATTAAGCGAGCAGGAAAGACACCTAGGTGGATGTTATGGTGTCGCGGCTCAGAGAACAGACAGTGGCGACCGTCTGTTGCAAGTATGCTCAGATAACGGCTTATTTCTAGCAAACACTAACTTTAGGCATAAGGAAAAGCACCTTTTGACCTGACAACCCTCGAAGTCGTCTCAACGTTGGATCCAACTGGATCACATTGCCATCAGCCACCGATGGAGGGGTTCGATAGAAGACTGTCGCTCGTTGTGGGGCACATGTTTAGATTCAGATCATGCCCTAGTGTGAGCGCGGATCTGTTTGAGGCTTACTGGACGTAGGAAAGACACCGTAAGGAATCCTCTCAGGGTTTTACTTAATGATAATATAGTTAAGAATATATTTTAAGGAGCAACTAGATAGAGAGTTAGGCAACCATGTAAGCGATTCCCATCCGGAAGCAGGTTGGAATGATATCAAAAATGCTGTGGAAACAGCAGCGATATCTGCTAGTAAGGTAAACCATTAGGCTAGAACGAATCCGTGGATCTCAGTAGTATCCACCGAACTGATGGATGCTCGAAACCTCATCCCATCTGGATCTGAACATGATGAAGAGCAAAGTTAGCTTAAGCACAGGCTGATAAAAAGCCTACGAAACGACCGTGAACAGTGGTGGGTGGAAAAAGCGATAGAGATGGAAAAGGCAGCGGCGATAGGCAACAGTGGACAACTTTTCCGACTTATCAAGGAAACTGGTATTAGGAATTCTAGTGTAAGTGAGACTATCTCGGAAAAGATGGGACTATTATTTATTCTCAATCCAGGAGATTGTATCGATGGGCAGAACACTTTAGGGATCAGTTCGACTGGCCTTCAACCACACTTCGGTTACATACGATCCCCAGTCATCCTGAATGGCAAGTCGACGTAGGTACACCTAGGCTTTACGAAGTTGAGAAAGCGTTAGGAAATCTGAAGCGAGGGCGAGCAGTAAGTCCTGATAGATTGAGTCCTGAGATCTATATGTTTAGTGGTCCAGTTTTAGCTGCTAGATTGACTGAGATCTTAGGTAGGATCTGGGAACTGGACGTAATCCCATCTCACTGGTCTCAGTTGCTATTGTCCCAATCCACAAGAAGGGACAAAAATCTTCTGGTGACAGTTACAGGGGAATAAGTCTAACTAATATAGTTTCTAAATTGTTAGCCTCCATTATAATTAGACGTCTAACTAGAGCTCGTGAAGTGCAGAGTAGAGAAAAGCAGGCTGGTTATCGACCTGGACGTGGTTGGGTAGACCACATTTTTACACTACGACAGGTCCTGGAACACAAACACACATCTAGGCGTCCTACAATAGTTGTGCTCCTGGACCTTAAGGCGGCATTTGACTCTGTGGATCGTGAAGATCTGTGGAAGTGTCTGTCATTGAAAGGTGTACCATAGAAGTAGATTAACCTTATACAAGCTTTCTACTGGAACACCACTGGTCGAGTGAGAGCTTATGGAGAACTGTTATCGGAACTTGTTACTTCAAGTGGTGTCCGTCAGGGCTGTCCACTCTCTCCATTCTTGTTTAATTTTATCATAGACATGCTGCTAGATATAACATTATCTTCTTCCGACTTTTCAGGAGTCGACTTTCTACCAGGAAAATCGCTTACTGACCTAGAATATGTCGACGACATAGTTCTATTTGGTGAAGACGCTGACAAAATGCAGTCTTCTGACTACCCTAAGCAACAGTGCAATCATGTTCAGGATGCGGTTCTCATCCTCGAAATGCAAACTGTTGCCTCAAGATTGGGTTGTATCAGCACCTGAACTAGTGATAGGGAGTGAAGTAGTCGAACTTGTAGACCGCTTCACGTATTTGGGGAATCTCATCAATGCTGATGTCCTGGTGACTGACGAGATCTCAGCACGGATACAGAAGGCTCGATTGGCTTTTGCCAACCTGCGTCACCTATGGCGCAGGCGGGATATCCGCTTGCTAACCAAAGGACGAGTGTACCGTGCATCAGTTCGTTCCGTCCTACTATACGGATGCGAAACATGGCCGTTAAGAGTAGAGGACTTTAGTAGGTTACTAGTCTTCGATCATCGGTGTCTCCGAAGCATTGGTCGTGTATCGTGGGACAACCGAGTAAGCAATGCTGTCGTTAGGAAACAAGTACTGGGTAGGGATGGAAAATCAGTAGATGAAGTAGTGAAACTTCATCAGTTGAGGTGGTTGGGACATGTGTTACGTATGGCTAACCACCGACTGCCTCGACGAGCTATGTTTTGTGGTTTAGGAGTAGGTTGGAAGAAAGCTAGTGGTGACTAAACCAAAACATGGCACAAATCCATGAAGTCACTGACAAAGGGACTGAGTAATGTTGGAAGATGTAGACTACCTGGTTGGGGGTCCACGAGACAAAAGTCACCGATGGTTAGAGACCTTGAACGACTTGGCTCAGAATCGTTTGCAGTGGCGCAATTGTATCCACTCTTTGTGTTCTCTCTAATTCTAACCTTCTGAATTCCTCATCATCTCCATCTTTCTCCTTCTAAATTTATCTCACTGAATTATACTTATCGAATCATATTTTCGCTCCCTAATCTTCTCCATTACTGCTAATACTTCTACTATCGCTACCACTATTGGATTTGAACTCACAGTTGCATTTCTGTGCTGATGTTGTATGGCAACCTGAACTGATGTACTTACGTATGAAGTTTCTGAGTTGTATCTGTCTGTCTGTTTGTGTATTACTTTTGACAAGCCGTTAAATAGATCATTTTTGCATGCTTTCAAAATTGTGGTTCATTACCAACTAAACTCATAATCATTTCAAGTTTGGAACATTTATCCGATATAAGTTTCTATGATCACTAATATTCAATATATATATATATAAATTGGACGAGATATAAAATTACCCTGAAATCAAATAAATCTTCCTAGTGACTATTTTGCTAGTGTACTTATAAGCGACGTATTTGGATTAGATGGGTGAATTTATGAAATCTATCCAAAGAAACAATCTTGGTATGTTAATGTGCGTAAACCACTGTCAAGTTGCAGAGAAAATGAGCTGACATAGGGTAGCAGTCAGTAGATCGAAGTCAACACAGAGGCTGATGCAATGCCGTTTAGCTCAAGTTTCTACACTAAATCATACAGCGGAATGATGTTAATAGGATGAATAACAAAAACGTCGGAATAATAGTAGTGTTAATATATGTGTGAGAGTAAACATATTGGAGAATATAAATTCGAAAACGGATATATTGAAAGAGTGGGACGGGAGAAATAATACTAAGATTAAGACTTGGGGTTAGATAAAGTATGAACGTATCTGAAATACTGTGACTGACCCAATTAACTTTTACAACTACTGATCGCGGTTATAGCCCAAAAACTAACCTGGTCGTAAAAGAGAGATGGTAACGATCCACATAGTTTGGGAATTTCTTTTGTTGAGTGAAATCAAATAATGAGTCCCATCCTAACGACTCAGTATTATGTCTCAGGGATGGAGAAGCTTTAGAGAGGAAATTAGTTAGGCACATTACTTAAACCTTTTTAGACGTAAAACCAAATTTATTTGAGATAATATGGACACAGTCAACCTGAACCAGCACATTTTGTGGATTTAATTTCAAAAACGTTGAGATAATGAGGCTCAAAGAACACTTGCAGTATTATGAACAAACTACAGTCGGTAAATGCTGAATATTATATTCTAATCTAGTGATTTTCGGTTGTCTGGCATCTGTTTTTATTTAGAACAACGACTAAATATACTCATACCCATATCATTTCCGTATATTACCCTTAGGCGAACCGCGCTCGTGTCAATAACAGTTGAATCTATTTTATACACTCGTGCACGCAGACGAACATAAGAATGAAAAGTTTAAAAGCGAAAGGAAGCAAAGCAGAAAACGCCAACTCCCTTTGATGAATCATGACTTACTATTTATAGCCAGACAAAAATTAGTCACACATGTGATGAGTAAAGTAAGCAACACACACCCAAAGTTATGGACTACTTGACAAGATCGAAATGCATTTGAATTGTGACTGGAGAAGGATGGACGAATTAGTTTGACTAAAGACTAAGGCCACGTAGCCTAGACATAATGGTACACACAAGAAATTATTCAATAGTAGAGTTGTTACAAGAACGGGATGTCTCAAGGTATTAATCTGCATATTCTGTTTGGTTTGTGAAAATCATAATGATCTACCTTAATAGTATTGAAATGAGGTAAATAAAAAATATGATCAAACTTATGGGAATTCATCTCAACTCACTGAAATCTCCCTAGCTGAAACGGACGGTCCGCTTTTCACATTGTTTTGACTACCTGTAGGACCATTTCTACCAGACATTATATTTCTAAACATAAATCAAAAACATTAAAGCATAAGGGAAAAAATAACTGAGTGTTGCAACTATATGGTTAGTCTTGGTATTAAATCTGCAGAAGATAGAAGCTGACATTGAAATTTTACACGGATATAAAGTTTATTGTTTCTATTCCAGAAGGCCGTGAAATCAGGGGACTATAAACCCTATTTGGAAGTATCTCCATACTGGTAATAATCTGCACGGAACGCTGCCTTCACTAACTACACAAAAAACTTACTACAACCAGAAATTTTAGTAATTCAATAAACAAGTAACTTGAATCAGAATGGCCTAAAATTTAGTATTGCTGACTCTAACAAAATGAGGCAATGATTACTAGAGATGCCCATGGTTTCTGTAATACTACTCAGATACAACTGGCATTGAATTCATAACTAACGAAAAGCACACATTACTACACAACCGTGATATACTATTAGGAAAACAGTATTTCTGTTCGAGTCGTCTTCCAATCATATTACCTAGTATAGTTAGACACCGGTTTTCCACCTTTATAAGGAAAACAGAAGTAAGGCGGCTAAAGAGTTGTGTTATAAACAAGCTTAACATCAGCCATGTAGCCAGTTGGATCTTGCAAAACAAACTGAATGCATTAAAACCATGAAAAATTTAATCCGCCAGCTTCTGAGGAAACTTCCAGAATAAAAACTTAACCACTGAAAAATTTAACCACATTTGCAATAGAAAGTAGTGTTGAAGCAAGAAATGGATACACCTACGATCTATAATTCGTTTTAGTAAGCGCGGGGAATAAAGATAGACCTTGAACACATATCGCCCACAACCATTGGTCCAATAATCAATTGCACACTAATAATTAAATGATAACAAGGTGTTGAAAATTTAAGTTCTTCTTTCCAGAAGGGGAAATAATGGCATGCTTTGAAGCCTAAATTTGCATTCAAGAAGATAATCTGACTGTCATAACATTAGCCAACTGAATCTATTGACAGTTATTGGATCCGACAGTAAGCTAATCACCGTACACGATGAAACGAATGTTTACAGTGATCCATAAAATGAATATTCATCACAGAAATTACCCCGACTTACCCCATAAACTTTATTCCATTCAAATGTCATCACAAATTCTTTGATTAAACCAAAGAGTTTGATGGATATGTATACTAAATTACACGATCACAAAATAGTAATTTCTGGTACTGGCTTATATTTATTTAATCGATGCCGAATATGGGTCTAATTATGGAATTTGGTCGATTTTTAACGTGAATTTTGAAACGAGACGTACGATGTCAAATTACAATTTGCGGTCAACACTGATAGAAACTAAGTTATCTGCCTGAACAATATTTATTACAAAAAGCAGGCGAACATCTCCACTGAATAGATAAATCCCTATAAATATTGTTAATTAGAGCGTTTTTTCAGTCGTTATTTTTATCTCACTCACATAATTCCGGTTTATTTTTTTTACGAGTTTCATCTTTAGCAAACAACATGAAATTTCTCTTATCTGACTGAAGGCTCAGCAATACAACCACTTATAATAATCATCGGTTTGAGAAGTTAAGCAACCTCCAGATAACTGAAAGCACCACTGAAAAATTCACTACAACTGTGAAAAGCGTTCAGACGGTTATAATATACTTAACTGGGAGTAATATTGTTCTTAGAAACCACTTGTGCGTTTCCTGAAATTATTCGATAATTCCCCCCTGTTTACTATATTATAAGAATTTATTTAGCTGGAAAATAAAATAATTATTTAAGCGAACTTTCGGCCACTAAAATTAAAACAGGTCAATTTCAGTCTTGCATTTATATGTCCCACAATCTTAAAGCCGTATGATGAACACTTACACATAGCTCTGTGGTCTGTCATACTCTATTTAGTCTCTAAAGCTTTCGAAAGCTTGCACATTTGACACCCTTCAGCAATTCTTCAAATGACGATACAGAAAAGGCCAGGTCTAGTATTTACCAGCAGTACCAAGTTTTGTGCCATCCAGGTCTATGGAATTTTTGGTCAATAAAATGATTGGGAGGTAGGTGGAAGAAAACACTTCGACAGATTGACCAAGGACACTCGAAAGATGAGTCTTTTATTTGAAATGGACAGACAGCACGCTGAGATAAAAAAAACTGCCGGTCCTCGCACTATTATTCATCTTCACTGAATCTTAACCATGTATCCTAACTCTACTTCTCCATTAATGGTCTTAACAAACTTGGAAACACAAATGAAATAAGTCTAAAAATCATAAAGTTTTCACGAAGAAGATATCATTCCCTCAAAAAACCAATTGACAGACGAAATTGAGGAGGTTGAGTTCAGAGAGAAACCTTGAGAACAAAAACATCACTGACTGGGATGAACGTCATTAGAGCACAGAGAAACATTAAATGACCTGAAGTACAACATACCTTTTTGAACTGATTTAGGCCATGAGTTGTTCTTCAGTATTAAATGAGTACACCTCCGTTTAACAAGCCTAATAGATAGTCATGAATCCCCACATTATTTTGACTCGAGTATCTACTTATTATACTCAGTAACAAAAGGGGATGTTCCGTAGTTTTTATCGACTGATGCACGTTTAAGAAGTTACTTGCCCTTACTGTCATTTCCATATTTCTTCCTCTTCCCGCCGTCCAAATATTTCAAAAGTTACCTACTTTGCTTGTTTTAATACAAAAAGAACCTAAGGTACTGCTCATGCTCTGCCTAATCATACAGAGATCAGCTTGGGAAAGGGTAAGAAGTGTGTTCAATGTGCATATATATAATATTCCAGCTTTAGACCGTGTTGCCTTACCCCTACTACTAAACACATTTACCGGCGTCAGCACAGAGTGATGGATAATGAACTCGTTGTGTTCTTATCTCCCTAAAGAGAACAATATGTTGCGTTGGTAGGCGACTATACTGAATCCTTACCAGCTCAATGTGTGCTACAAGTGACAGTTCTATCAATTTTTCTATTTATAATAATAATAATATATTTATTCTCAAACAACTACGTTACAAGAGTCACGCCAGTTTACAGGCTAGATCAAATTATCACCAATTCTTTCACATTTACTGTAAAAGTTATAGCAGTTAAATTAAGTATAAGAGTCAGTTTCTTATAGCATATTTGCACAATGTCACTGACAGAAGCAGTATAATACAGCCAAATTTTCAATAGTAGAGTACAAATAAGGATACCATCTACAAAATACACTTTTATTAAGTATGTGGAGGGCACTACTGAGTGCATACCGATTTAAGCCACCTTTCCCCATCAAGCCAAGAAGTTCACTTTCGTTGAGGCTGCACTTAACAAGCTAATTTTCTTAGTTGCTAGTAAGTATATTTGGAATAATGATTGTTGTATTTAACATGAATACATCCGTGAAGAGGTCACATTCATTGCGTAGGTGTAGCGGACGACTGTTCGGTCGTGAAATATAGTGTTTTATTATGCTGATGAGTTACATGCACCAAAAAGAGTCTACATAAATTTCTTGCGTAAAGTAGGTATGTTCGCGATCTGTAGGGCTTGAATTTACAGAACTTTGGCCTGATGTGATAGATTTTGACGCGATGTCTCACTTTTATACGAACGTAGACAAAACAGCTACTTTAACTATGGGGCCTCATGACAACTACTTGGATACATATCAAATTACACTCACCTAAACAAATGCCTATCATACGTGGAAAGTTCAGAGTACAACTTCGATGTGCCTATCATGTTAGGCTGAGAGCTGTTATCTGTTCTCGTGAACACGCCAATATAGGATCGTCAGTGCGTAAGGTATTCCCTGTTATGTCTTGTCACATATGCCCTGACAGCCTCACATCTTACTAGCAGTTCCGATAGCTTGTGATTTTTTCTCCAGAACCAACGTGTATTTGAGAACAATAAACTGATATTTACATTCCTCAGTAGGAGTCCCTTTGTGTTGTGCATGGAGGTAATGAGTGCACGTTATCTTCAGTTGTCAGAATTATCACCTTTTTACGCGTTGGAAACGTTTCAGGACATTTTTGAATTCATCTCGAGAAAAGGACCTTTGAGATAGCATTGTCTACCGAAGTGTATCCGTTAATTCAGCCGAAATGTTGACTGACGTACGTGACACAGTAGTACTATTGAAAAAACTTAAAGAAGAATAATTGAAGACACAGGAGGATAAATTATAGAAACTAGCTCACTGCAACCTATAGGTCGATAGTTAAACAGCACTGTAGAAAGGATTTATTTGTTTGAAATATAGATAAAAGCATAGAAAACACATGGCTTTGTTTTGATCGATAGTCTGTAAATTTATGAGGCCCCTGAAAGCATACATACTACGGGGTTAAGCCGGTTTACTGACACTCCACCTACCCGTTGCACCTAAAATGTGGAATGACCGCCCCGAAGGATGTAGCTCAAGGTCGTTTAGGGAGCGGAGCGGTAGTTTTAACTGCAGTTTGACTTCTGTTGTGTATCCACGCTACTCTGTTCGTTCCGTCAGTATAAAACGGGCCCGAACGCTAACTGCTTCACCCACATCCACTATCAATCTTCATATTTCATAAGTCCACCACGTGTTAGTTGTGTTAGATGGCGAATGCAAGTGTTTTTCTGTGCGTAATGTGCCATCTTGCAAGCTTATATGCTTCAGATCCTCCATGCTAACAGAATTGATCGTTCACCAGTTTTCAAGCAGCGAAAAGCCGCCGTTTGCGTACAGTAAGGCCGGACGATGTTTTGCGTGGGTTGCTCCTAAGCCGTTCGATGGTGGATTCATTTTCATGCAACCTGGTAACTGGGTGCTGTCACAGGTTCTGCTGTAACGTGTATTTACGAAGATGTCTACTTTATTAGTCTGGAATTTGGGCCTAGAGTACAGTAAATACAACTTAAGTGATGTCTTGAAGCTTTGACAATTCGAAGGCGTCGTGAACATGTAGTAACTCATTCGATTTGAATAATCTTAAAGGACTTTTTTATAAACAACTAATTCATAGGAGCTTAGAAGGTTGATCGTTGTAAGGCTAGTAAACATGTTCCAGGTCAAAATTCCTATGGAAAGAGATGGTCAGCTGTTAGGACTAATATAGCATAAACACTCGTGGGTTCTATACCATAACAGGTATTGAGTCAGTAAAAATCTGGTACTCACAGTTATCTATGAAAATAATCCCCCCGGAACTTCTACTCTGCCGTAGTCTGGGCAGGTTGTTCCTAATTACATTATTACTAGTAGTGTCCATAGCATAACTGAAGTGACAACAATGGATTCACAGAGCTGCTCCATCTGTAGGATCTAGTCATATTGGCTCTACAAGTGAAACAATAAGGAAGAATTGTGGAGGTTATAGAGTTTGAAGCAATATCCTGAAACAGAAACCATAACTTGAAACTCCCGAAGAAATATCACAAGGTTTGGGTATCTGATGAGGCTAGACAAATGACTGGTTATCCATGACACCGAAAAATGTTAGACGACATATTTTCGACGCAGACAGGAAGTAGAATAAAGGGTTTGGTCGTGGATGATTACTGTAAGTAAACTAGCACAACCTCTCCTTGTGTTTGACGCCGAGGTACAACCGAACCAACATCAGCTTGAGACCATTCATAGACGCTTCATAAGGATCGTATATCTTAGACTGTTACTGGTGATTTCTCAAGTTTTTCTGGAAATGGTAACAAAAAAGTTCTCAATTGCGTATAGTGTTATGATTAGTAGTGTTTATTTATCTACCCTTCGGATGACCAAAGGCTCACAATAGTAAGAAAGCGATTTACTATTCAGCTTTTTCTGCGACAGTGTAGCGTTATCATTTTAAGTAGCTAGGTGGGTTGTATTTTTTCTTGGGTCGTTCCAATACTTAAGTTGGACAATAAAGTTTGGACGTTAATTACGGTCAATCACTTATTTGGAAAACACCCCTGCTGTGGTTTCACGGGCGACGTGTTTTCGAAACAACAAATGTTTATCTATGGGTTTTTATTGATGACTTTCGGGTAATGGAAACCACATTTCTGTTGTTTGTTAAACCGAAGACACATGTAGCTATACGCGAGTAATATTCTCTTCTGTTCCCGTTTTTTACTAAGCTGGATGCATTTACTTATTGACCTCAAGGTGTATAAGTGATGGATGACTCTCAACGTTTATCGTCATCGAAGTATATAGTAGCGGAAAAGTGGAGACTTGTACGAAAAATCGGAAGTGGGTCATTTGGTTCTATATTTTTGGGGGTTAACATCGTTACGGGAGAGGAAGTAGCAATAAAAATGGAGCGTGTGCGCACACGACATTGTCAACTGTATTTCGAAAGTAAAGTGTATCGAGTACTTCGAGTAAGTCGAGACTTTTTCAAGTCCACTTGGCTGCGTCGCTGGTTTTCCAGCAATAAAGTCTAAGACATTTCCACTCGGCAAAAGGAAATCATGAGTGCAACTCACCAGCTAGGTACTGGTTTATATGTGAAGATTTTCATCACTTGTTTTTAGATTGGTGAAGATACTATTCAGTTTTCCAATACAAGTGGAACTAGCATTGATTTATTCTTAGGAAACTCCTGGAATACCTCGAATTCAGTTTTATGGACTCGATGGCGTCAGAAATCTATATCATGCTATGGTAATAGAACTTTTAGGACCTAGTTTGGAGGATCTTTTTACATTTTGTGGGCGCAGATTCACAATGAAGACTGTTTTGATGTTAGCTGATCAGATGTTGTGGAGACTAGATTTTATACATGCAAAGGGCTTTATCCACCGAGATATTAAACCAGATAACTTTTTAATGGGTATTGGTCGTCAGTGTAACAAAGTTTTTATCATTGATTTTGGTTTGGCCAAAAAGTTTCGGTGAGTTTTTCTTCTATTGTCATATCAAATGTAATTTGGTTGCATATGTTCACAATATTTTCAAGTCCACTTGGCTGCGTCGCTGGTTTTCCAGCAATAAAGTCTAAGACATTTCCACTCGGCAAAAGGAAATCATGAGTGCAACTCACCAGCTAGGTACTGGTTTATATGTGAAGATTTTCATCACTTGCTTTTAGATTGGTGAAGATACTATTCATTTTTCCAATGCAAGTGGAACTAGCAATGTTTTGTCTATAATGGAGTATTTGGAGTCACTACTTTGGTAATGAAATACAGAGTGAGAATAAGTATAGGTCGTGAATGATGAAAACTTGTATCATGTAGTTTGAGAAGAATATTGATCTTTAGCACGTACTTGTGTAATTTATGGAAACAACGTATTGTGGAATACATAATAGGTAAATTTAGTGTAGCTTTTAATCTGCTATTTCTCCAAAAACTATGTCAATATTTGAGTGTGTAGATTAAACTGCTTCGGATTTTAACTTGAAAACAGCCCCTAATACCCTAGTCTTGTGGACCATTGGTTGAATTGAAAAACAACAAATTTTAACACTTTTTAGATGGTAGTGAATGTGATCATCACAATAGATGCCGAATTTTGTTGAGAATTTCACCAAGTTCATGTTCATATATTCGTCTCTGAGCCACTACTTTTAAGGGTTTGAGATAATACTCAGCTGCTCAGACTGAAATAGCTCTTCAGTCAGTCAGTCACTTACAACGTATAACTTCATACGTACGTGCATCATTTCGGGTTGCCATATCACATTAGTACAGAGACTCAATTATCACTTCAAATCCTATAGTAGTAGAGGCAGGGGAAGTATTAGCAGTATTCAGAGAGATTGGGGTTCCAGGATATTACTCAAGAAGTATAATCCAGTGAGATAACTTTAGAAAGAAAGATAAAAGTAATGAGGAATTCAGAGCACTAGAATTTGAGAGAACACAAAGAGTAGGTGCATTTGCAAGCGGTTGTAAGCCATGTTTGAGTTTGCAAACGGATTTTTCGCCTACGCCAAAAACGACGCAGGTTGGAAAAAGCCAATCGGGACTTCTGTATACATGCCAAGATTGTTTAACTCACCAGGCCATTGGTAGAGATAAGACTGCCAAGATAAGTGAACCTATCCACACGCTCAATCGCTTCACTCCCTATCACCAATTCAGGTGCCGATAACAATCGTCGGACGCCTAAATATGTTCTAGGACCTGACGTAGTATGTAGATGTAGTCTATAATGATCGAAAACCAGCATGGTGTTCTCTAGTCAGCTCTTCACGCGCTCTACTTAGGCGTAAAATAAAACATGAGGCTAACTATATTAGTTTGTCCTTTCTTATAAGTTAGGACAATCAGGGATTTCGACATACAGAAAGTTACACTATCATCATTATCTTCTCATTTCGAAGTGATATAGGTGGTCAGTGTACAAGGATCAGGAGAATATTTGAACTGACAGGCGTTTTCACTTATACAGATCAAAACATGAGTTTATTCCAACCCTAAAACATCGTATGTTGCTCTAGTCGCGTCAAAGTTATGAGTCTTTGGTTAATCTTTCTAACAGGATCTTAAAATACGAGCTTTAAGTGGTAAATGCCCCTGACCCCTTTTAAATAACGAACAGATAGGAGACTACGTGATGATAACGGATAATTGTTAAAATATCTAAATTTATTAGATGGCGGAGCTTTGACTGGACTTTCATCTGATTAGTTGTGCAAATAAATCCCGCTGCATTATCACTGCTTCTCGCATAATTGCAGTCACTTTCTAAATTACAACGTAGAACTTCGTACGTACGTACATCAGTTCGTTATCATTCCACAGGACATAGGAATTAGTAACGTTGCATTTATTTCCATTGGTTTAAAAAGTAATATCTGGTATGTGAGGATATCTATTTTTAATACCTAACAGATCCTGCCATCTAAATCCACATTTCCTTGGGGGGTCAATGTGAACAAATGGAGACAGACTATCATCTCATCCTGATATGTCTACCTCGATACTTATCCTGACCTATTATCAATTTAACCAGCAAAACACATTTAGTCGGTGGATTGTTGTGATGCTTAGAAGTATATGAATCAAGAATTAAAGATCTGCACAAACGAATGCATTGTATTTAGAATTCGAAATCAAGCATTTCACAACAGCAAGAAGTTACTAGTTCATTCAAACACCACATCCGCCACAGCTTAAATTGGAATGTATATGTCTGTAATCAGTTGTACGTCTTCTTCTCAAATTCATCCTGTGTCTGTCCGACAGTGTATTGGATAAAGGGTCTGTATCATCTAGAATGCTCTCATTAGTATTAGAATTAACAACCGAAATTGGAACAGACTCACCTGGTTCTTGGAATTGTATTTGATCAACATGTCGATTGTGTGTACTTAAGTCATTGATATCTAGAAGTCGCACCATAGATTTCCCAACATTCTTCAGAACAATCCCCGTGGATGGTCGAAGATCATTGCCACGATAATATGTAACTTCTGCAGACTCCAAACATCTCATATTCGACCGAGGAATTCTTCCTTTTAGTAGTTTTGATGGAGTCTCTTTCGTCACTGAATGTCTGGCATTTCTATATTGCAGTAAAAAGGTATCTACTCCCCTCTCCAGCTCATTAAATGTTGAGGCGGCAATAGAATCAATAGCAGTTTTCATACCTCCACTGCACTTAGCACACGTGGCTATCGAATCTTTAAGTAAAGCATCAGAATTTTCTTTAGAAACTAGGAGAGACAACTCCACTTTAAGCCTTTTCAAATTCTTTAAACCCAGTATTGACAGTCCCGTTTCGCTAACTAAGAATTCACATGGTATGTATGAGGAATCATCATCTCTTATTAGCAATTCACAACATCCTCGTATAGGCAGTCTGTGTCCAGTAATCCCCAATATTGATACATCAGTGGGTCGTATCACAACGTTCGGATCTAACGATTTCAGGTTCTTGAATGAAATAATGGACTCTATACTGCCTGTGTCCACAATAAAGTCATGAAATGAACCAAGTGATGTATATAGTCGCTTTTGAATATGAGCATTACCTTTCGAAATGGTAGTTAAAGATAAATGATCATTAGGATCAGCTGAATTATTGGGATCTAAATTACAAGCTTTAGTACTACTTGAGGCAAAATGAACAGTAGCTTTGCATACTGCTTGAATGTGTCCTATCTTACCACATCTAAAACATTTAGCATTACGAAATGTACAATAATAACGAGAATGAAGTTTTCCACATGATAAACATTTGCCAAACTTGGTCTCACCTTTTTGATTTCCTTTGTAATTCTTTTTTGAGACACCGTTCATTTTTACACGAGAATAGGAACCACTGTTAAACGAACACAATTTTGATTGACCCTGAGATTGTATTTCATCATGACAACTAATCAAAGTATTGGAAATCTTCATCGACTGAATATCAAGTTCATTCAACGCCTCGTAGTTAATGCACGCAGTTCTAACATCTTGAAAGGAACAGTTTGACATTCTTAACAGCTCTCTTTCCAAACTAGGTATGTTAATTCCTGCAATTAATCGGTCTCTCAGCTGCACATTAAGTTGATCATCAAAATTACATTTGACAGCCTGTTTCTGCAATTCAAGAATGAATTCCTTAACATTTTGGTCATTTTGACGAATCATCTTATGAAATTTCGCTCTTTCACGGCATTCAAAACCAGGGCACTTTACATGATTCAATAATAACTCCTTTAGCATTGCATAGGGAAGTGAAATAGGTTTCTCTGGATATGCCAAGGTTTTTAATAAGCTGTACGCTTCTTTTCCGATGAATGTTAGGAAATGAGCAACAATTTTATCATCTTTGACATCTTTCCTGGTCATACTCCAGATTTCAAACCTTTCCAAATAATCTTCAAAAGCATCAGAAGTAGAATGAATATCTAGCTGTTCCATTACAAGTTCCATCGCGACGCCACTGTGATGCTTAGAAGTATATGAATCAAGAATTAAAGATCTGCACAAACGAATGCATTGTATTTAGAATTCGAAATCAAGCATTTCACAACAGCAAGAAGTTACTAGTTCATTCAAACACCACAATTGTCTAGATGAACTTTTTAACAATGTCAGTCGGTGTACGTCCACAACTTGACCAGAAACATTTTTACTTTGTTATGTGACCATGGGCGTTACCGTGGAGCTTTCACTATTGTCACTTAATTTTTACGTATTTCGTTCATGATACTTTCGTAGCAACGTGCGTTATTTTTCACTTCAAACATAATTTTTAATCCCCGAAATCGGGTTAGATTTCTACGAATATACTTTTGATGGAGTTGAGTGTGAAGTAAATATATGGATATTACCATCTAGCTAGTGTACGACTCATGGTTTTCTGGGTATCTCTGTTTATGGGTTCCAGTAGATGCTAAGGGATCATAAATACTAGGATTTTAACAACTACGCTAGTCCTCAAACTTCGTCTATATTACCGGATGTCCATCGAATTTGAAGTACAAACTCTATTTACTTGATCCAAAATACCGAAGTGCCGCTTTCTTGGGTTTGTTATTATCCATCACTGTCTTCCTCTGTATAATTGCTGTTAATCATTAAGCTTGTTTTTCTGGTAAATATATTTGGTCATCTTGGTATCAACTATCTAAAATTACCCACTATATATCAGTTAGTTAGGAAGAGGCTCTTAATATCTGATAAATCTTACCCACCCCCTACTACGTGCATCCAACAGTGTTAATTATTTTTTTACTCTAAATAGTACACGACTGCGGAATATATATACTTCACTATCATAACCATAAATTTGGTTATTACCCAAATGAGATTTCAAAACTTACTTTGTATCTGGGTCCAATAATTTCTACTATTTGCATTTTTTGAATTAACTGAGTCTTCCCTAAGTAGTTTTATTCAAACTATTAATATACAGTCCAGATTTGTTGGTTTACTATGCTTATATTTTTCAACTCAAACTTCAATACAAAGAACGAGATCACTTCTATTCTCCTCTTCCCTGTTTCACTAAGTAGAGTTAAAAGACTAGTTTCATAATGGGAGTTTGTTGACAATAATTCCATTATGATTGAAAATACATTTGCGTTAATCATTTACATATCATTGTGATTGTCACTAGATAGAAATCATAGTAAGAATGTATTACCACTCTATGAGTATGGTTTACGGTGAATAATTCAATAACATGGGAATTCACCTTGATCGGTATCGATTTCCTTTCTTCATAAGGATCGACAGTCTTTCACGTACATACTCTTAAGTTTGACCGTAATTTTAACTCATTTACTTGGGCTTAATCAAGCAATTGGTTGCTAGCCTTTTAATATCAGTCAGCTTATCGAACCGCGATATGTAGAAATTGAATTTAAATCTAGAACTCAGTAAATGAAAGCCAAGTCCGAGTTGTAATCTACTGTATACCATATAACAAGCGTTGTCTGTTTGCTAATATTTGATCAGCAACTCTCTCCTCTCTACCGGCTTCTTATGTGAAGCATTTGTGCGCTATTCATCATTACGGATGCTACTCTAATGTTTACTTTTATATCGAGAAGTTTCATTGAAAAATGTCCCCATAGTGAATGCACTTAGAAGTTGCTTTTATGATTATCATTATTATAGATGAGCAACCTTAGTCCACAGATGCGCTAAAGCTAATACAAAAAACTCTGCCACATTTAGTGAAAAAACTAGGAGTAAAGAAATGACCCTAATAAAAATACGTGCATTAATAGTCACAGTTAAAGTCTGAACAAAAAACTGGATACTTCAGGTGTCCGAATGTAATGTGTACTACTAACAACGAGGCTTATCAGTAGTATGTAGTGATTGTGCATCAGTGTTGACCTGAAGTTACGGCCGAAGAGAATAGTTTTGTGTCTGGATGTATGGCGCAACCATTGTTTCGAAAAATAGAACACATGTGGAAGAATACAGCTAAGGATTAGCCTGTTTTGCGGATGCATGTTTGATTAAGTGTATACATTTTTTCTAGTAAATTGTTCCATCTGTTCTTACCGTTTTCCTTCATTACACTAGTAGCTCAGTCGTGAATGATAAAACTAAACACCGAAAACTGCACTTTTGAGAGTAAGAAACTTTCACAAAAACTGCGTTTTACCGGTGCAGCTCAAATAGATTTTGGTAGTTTGTGTGCAAATCATACTTTTAAAAGTAAGATTCTTTACTTTTTTTGTTCTATTCAACAGAGATCATAGAACACGTCGTCATATTTCATATAGAGATGATAAATCTCTCATTGGCACAGCGCGTTATGCTAGTCTTAATTCTCATGCTGGCATTGAACAATCTAGAAGAGATGATATGGAATCTCTAGGTTACGTTTTGATGTACTTCCTCCGTGGTAGTTTGCCATGGCAAGGATTACAAGTAAGTATATGATTTCTATTTACTATCTATCAAGTTAGTCTTTTTCGCTCTTAGTCTTTATAATTACTTTCTTTGTTTTTCGAACTGTTATCCTTAAAAATCAGTGAGAACTATTATTTACTACTAAAGTTCAGAAATGCTCACACACACTCAAATACCTTCAAAACAAAAACTAATAGTAGTATTGTATGGCTACTTATATTATTATTATCATTATTATTATATTAGTTAGACATATTCCCCTGTGATTGTCATAAGAAGACTTTTGTCCTTTCTTATAAGTTTTACATTTTGTACTTGATGTCACGCCAAACCACTGTACTAATGACACCCGAACGTTTGACTCCCACCGTTCAAAAATAAGAAGACGGAAGACGTTGGAGAACACTTATTACCAGAATCAAAAATATACAATCAAACATGCGTATTTATACAATTATATAAATGTCGTTTAAATATTTTGAACATTAATCAAATAGTTCATCATGTACATTAGTCATATAGATCATCATGAATATTATTCATATAGTTCATCATGAATATTCATCAAATAGTTCATCAATCCACAATGTGCGTGGCTTTCTTCTCGATTGGCTATCCAAACACCTCCCCGGAATAAGATTTTTTTCTTTTTCTTTTCTTTTTTCTTTGAAGTCGTTCCAGTTCCTTTTCAACTAACGGGCAAGAAGCATAAGGTACACGAATAGCTGTTGACTTGAGAGTCAGTAGTGCTTTAGCTTTCGTACATTCGCCCAACTCTTCCGAATATACGTGATGATGGCTTTTCATAATGGCATTTCTCAGACTTGACTCTAAAGGGTTATTGATTCTAACTCGGCTGCAGATGTCGTTGATAGAATGGTCTGTTAATTTTAATGCATCTATGAGACCCAACCCCTATAAATCAAGGTCTGGGTTTTTAGTTAAGTATACAGTTGCAGTCGTCGTTGCCTCATCCTTTGAAACAGTGCACAATATTTCTGCAACAATATTTAGCTTGCCATCAGATGCCATGTGTGCTAGTTGCTTCGTTTGGTGAACTGTAGGTCTTCCAATTTTATCCCAGGTTTTTGGACTGATAAGGGTGATGTCAGATGCTGTGTCAAGTTGAAAACGGAAACGGTGTGAATTCATATCCAAAGTCACATACTTTCTTCTGTGGTGAATTCCTGTCTGGTTATGAGACACCAATACTCGGTTTATTGGCTTACCAGAACTGTATTTCTTGGAATCGACTTTCGCGGAGTAATGTCTGCGAGTTTTTGTCCTACATCGGGTTTCTTTGTGACCCTTTTTGTGACATTTAGTGCAAACATAATCTTTGTATGGACAAAACTTCTTGTAGTGCCAACCTCCACATGACCAGCATGGAGATGAGGGCTGGTTGTCTAAGCTCTTGTGATGCTTTTGTGAGCCAGATTTTTTCTTTTCACTTACGGAATGCACGTATGATGGACGGCCATTGTTTTCGACCATGGAGGTATCGTGCTTCAAATTTACTAATCTCTGGCACTCTGCAATTATTTCTTGAAGCGAGATGTTTGGGCACTGCTCAATTTTACTTAGGATTCTGGTTCTTATATCAGCATCTTCGGGAGATTGTAAGCTGCACACAAACATAAGGCACTTAAACTGGTCTTCCGTCATTGATGATAATTTAAATCGTTCGCATTCACGATTTACTAAGCCGGGGAGCTTTACCCAGTCATCTCCATTTGACTTGGTTATTTTGAGGCATTGATAACGAATATTAAAGAGATGACTGTTCAGAGAAGATTTGTGACAGCGTTTCAATTGTAGCATCAAAAGAGAAATCTCGTGGGTTCTTTGGGAGGATGAAATTACTATAACGTTCGTGTTCGATTGTGCCGAGCTTTCTCAAGAGGATTCTGACTTTGGTGGCGTCATCAAGGTTGTTGAGGTCGACCTTGAACAAATCCTCATACTTCTTGAACCAAGACTCGAAAGTCACACCAGCAAGGCCATCAAAATGAAATTCATGAATGGAATTACCTATCGAGTCTGTATGTGGATTATATGAGTCATCGGTAAGACCTCTGTGATTCAAATTCATTTGTTTCATTAACAACTCCAACATACGTTCCTGGAACTGTTCATGTCGTTTTCCTTGACATTCCAGTAAAGATTCTACCTGTTCAACGGTAATTGACATTGTGGGTTAAACACTCCGTCGCAACTTTTATGTTTGGTACTTGATGTCACGCCAAACCACTGTACTAATGACACCCGAACGTTTGACTCCCACCGTTCAAAAATAAGAAGACGGAAGACGTTGGAGAACACTTATTACCAGAATCAAAAATATACAATCAAACATGCGTATTTATACAATTATATAAATGTCGTTTAAATATTTTGAACATTAATCAAATAGTTCATCATGTACATTAGTCGTATAGTTCATCATGAATATTCATCAAATAGTTCATCAATCCGCAATGTGCGTGGCTTTCTTCTTGATTGGCTATCCCAACAATAAGTTGGGACAGTCAGGGATTTCGACATACAGAAAGTTACACTATCATCATTATCTTCTCATTTCGAAGTGATATAGGTGGTCAGTGTACAAGGATCAGAAGAATATTTGAACTGACAGGCATTTTCACTTATATAGATCAAAACATGAGTTTATTCCAACCCTAAAACATCGTATGTTGCTCTAGTCGCGTCAAAGTTATGAGTCTTTGGTTAATCTTTCTAACAGGATCTTAAAATACGAGCTTTAAGTGGTAAATGCCCCTGACCCCTTTTAAATAACGAACAAATATGAGACTACGTGATGATAACGAATGATAGTTAAAAAATCTAAATTTATTAGATGGCGGAGCTTTGACTGGACTTTCATCTGATTAGTTGTGCAAATAAATCCCGCTGCATTATCACTGCTTCTCCCATAATTTCAGTCACTTTCTAAATTACAACGTAGAACTTCGTACGTACGTACATCAGTTCAAGTTATCATTCCACAGCAAATCCCACAGTGGTAGATGTAGCAGAAGTATTAGTGGTAATGGCGAAGATTAGGGTTCGAAGATATTTTTCTCATGGACGCGCAAACTCTGAAAATGGTAACTTTTTTCACGTGGTAAAGTGTTTTTCGGAAATTTATCATTCGTAGGGTATTACACTGATTAAGTAGAATTTATCTATTGTACGCGTTGCACTTTGCTTTCAGAAAGCAAACCCTCTAAGTTTTTATCAGTTAATGCATACTTGTCGTTTGATAACGTTTTTAACTTCTGACCACACTAGTTTAAGCCTACTTATTGACTTACAGTGACTCATACACTTCATCACTGAACCTCTCATCTTTAAAATCCCACCCAATTTTCCATTATGACAAATAATTCGAGTAAAATAGAAATGTCTCCAACTTTTAAACCACCCGAAAGATCAAAATCTGCAAACCCAATGCCAGATGAATCTTCACTAAGTATTCCAATAGTGAAATTCGTAGATATAAGAGATACTATACCCAAGTATACCGAAACGTCAACGAGAAAAAATTTCAACCTAATCTTGTGAAATTCACAAACCTAAAGGTGGATGCTCCATCCGAAACCATTAATAGTAGTGATAACCATGACAGCGAGATACGACAGTTAAAAAACTCACTTGCCCAAATTAACGATAAGCTTAACCTGTTAGCACCCCTCATGCGCTTATGGGCCCCGAATAATGATAGGAACCTCGAAGAATTAGCCAAAGCGGAATATATCCTAGATTTTGCAGCTGAGGGAGTTACGAAAAGAATAATATATTCCTGCAATGCGATTGCATATAACCTCCTCAACCGCACATCCTCGACTTCGCTTAAGGATACCTGTCTAAATGCGTGTGATATGGCAAACGTCAGCTGTCACGTCACTCGCCTCAGAAAAAAATCGGACAAATCAACTTGTCCTCTCCTTTTCAAATTCGGCTTCTGCAACGACGCCAAACAATTTATCCGTTTGAGCAAAAATATTAGCTCATCAACCTTATACAAAGAAGTAAAGGTTACCCCGGATCTAACGCCTTGTCAACGTCGTGTAAAAACAAGAGAGGCGACTGGATCACATAACGGTGTTACAGCAGACGTAGTCAGCATTAATTGTCTCTAATCCGAGACTAAATGCGAGACCTATTAAACCTACTAGCTGGATCCTTAAAGCTACTTCGGGTCCTATGCTAGACAAGTCAGGGACCTCATCCTCACGTCCCAGTCAACGGCAAGCTCCATCTTCCCTGTCTACGGATGAGACTGCGGTCTCACCTCCAGATAAGCAGACCACGCCGTCCTTGAATTCGGATGAGACTGACGGCTCACAAGGTACTCACGAGACTACCGTCTCGCGTTCCGGTCGCTGCGTAAACCTACCTGTACGTTTTCTAGAATAACCCTGTTGGTACCGTCGACTTCGGTCAATTTTGGTGGAAGCTGGTCTGATCACCTACGCTCTTGTCAAGGCACTCAGTCGATATTTTGGTTTCGAATTTTCTGGAATACGAATTGTTTTGAACTGGTTGTTACTGGCTCCATCGTTCGGTTTGGTTCAGTCCTACATCTGCAGTTTATTTTTTGGTACGAACCCCTACGAACGCAATCTTCAGACTCTAGATACCAGGCACACTGGTGTGCCATTCCGACTCGAGTAATAAACCTGGCACGTTACTATTGGTACGGTTCAATGTAAAAGAATCTCGTTGACAAATCGAGCTTCATTGGTCGCTTCCTGTCCGTCAATCCTTCCGCCCTAAAATCAGCAGTAAGCTGACTAGCCAGCCCACTCGTCACGAAACCGCTACGTATCGAAAGTGTAAACTCCTTCTAGGCAGGGGCTAATGTTGTGGTTTACTTATACGAAGAAAACACAATTGCTGAAAAATAAACGTTTATTATTGTACTTAATTATGACAATATTTGTCATATTATACACCTTTTGTTTATCTGTACTTGTGACTATCTCTCGCGCGCAAGACGTGTTATTCCCATTCTCTTCTTCGCAAGTCTCCTGCGTAGACTTTAGCCGTTTGTACGCCCTCTTGCATCGATATTATTTCGATATCACCAGGCCAGTATCAAATATACTTATT